CACTCATGTCAGTATATAAACCTGTCCCAGTATCATTCATGTCAGTTTATAAACATGTCCCAGTGTCACTCATGTCAGTATATAAACCTGTCCCAGTATCATTCATATCAGTATATAAACATGTCCCCCGATATCGTCCTGTCGGTATATAAACCTGTCCCAGTATCATTCATGTCAGTATATAAACCTGTCCTAGTGTCACTCATGTCAGTATATAAACCTGTCCCAGTATCATTCATGTCAGTTTATAAACCTGTCCCAGTATCATTCATGTCAGTATATAAACCTGTCCTAGTGTCACTCATGTCAGTATATAAACCTGTCCCAGTATCATTCATGTCAGTTTATAAACCTGTCCCAGTATCATTCATGTCAGTATATAAACCTGTCCTAGTGTCACTCATGTCAGTATATAAACATGTCCCAGTATCATTCATATCAGTATATAAACATGTCCCCCGATATCGTCCTGTCGGTATATAAACATGTCCCAGTATCATTCATGTCAGTATATAAACCAGTATCATTCATGTCAGTATATAAACCTGTCCCAGTATCATTCATGTCAGTATATAAACATGTCCCAGTATCATTCATGTCAGTATATAAACATGTCCCAGTATCATTCATGTCAGTATATAAACATGTCCCAGTGTCACTCATGTCAGTATATAAACCTGTCCCAATATCATTCATGTCAGTATATAAACATGTCCCAGTATCATTCATGTCAGTATATAAACATGTCCCAGTATCATTCATGTCAGTATATAAACATGTCCCTGTATCGTTCCTGTCGGTATATAAACATGTCCCTGTATCGTTCCTGTCGGTATATAAACATATCCCTGTATCGTTCCTGTCGGTATATAAACCTGTCCCAGTATCATTCATGTCAGTATATAAACCTGTCCCAGTATCATTCATGTCAGTATATAAACCTGTCCCAGTATCATTCATGTCAGTATATAAACCTGTCCCAGTATCATTCATGTCAGTATATAAACCTGTCCCAGTATCATTCATGTCAGTATATAAACCTGTCCCAGTATCATTCATGTCAGTATATAAACCTATCCCAATATCATTCATGTCAGTATATAAACATGTCCCAGTGTCACTCATGTCAGTATATAAACATGTCCCAGTATCATTCATGTCAGTATATAAACCTGTCCCAGTATCATTCATGTCAGTATATAAACCTGTCCCAATATCATTCATATCAGTATATAAACCTGTCCCAGTATCATTCATGTCAGTATATAAACATGTCCCAGTATCATTCATGTCAGTATATAAACCTGTCCCAGTATCATTCATGTCAGTATATAAACATGTCCCCCGATATCATCCTGTCGGTATATAAACATGTCCCTGTATCGTTCCTGTCGGTATATAAACATGTCCCTGTATCGTTCCTGTCGGTATATAAACATGTCCCAGTATCCTTCATGTCAGTATATAAACATGTCCCAGTATCCTTCATGTCAGTATATAAACCTGTCCCAGTATCGTTCCTGTCAGTATATAAACATGTCCCAGTATCATTCATGTCGGTATATAAACATGTCCCTGTATCATTCATGTCAGTATATAAACATGTCCCTGTATCGTTCCTGTCGGTATATAAACATGTCCCTGTATCGTTCCTGTCGGTATATAAATATGTCCCTGTATCGTTCCTGTCGGTATATAAACATGACCCTGTATCGTTCCTGTCGGTATATAAATATGTCCCTGTATCGTTCCTGTCGGTACAAAATATGTCCCTTTATCGTTCCCGTCGGTATATAAATATGTCCCAGTATCATTCATGTCGGTATATAAACATGTCCCTGTATCGTTCCTGTCGGTATATAAACATGTCCCTGTATCGTTCCTGTCGGTATATAAACATGTCCCTGTATCGTTCCTGTCGGTATATAAATATGTCCCTGTATCGTTCCTGTCGGTATATAAATATGTCCCTGTATCGTTCCTGTCGGTATATAAATATGTCCCTGTATCGTTCCCACAGCTTTGCAGATACATTACTATGTTAGGACAAGGCACGAGACGGAGGAGAAATCTCCTCATGAAGCGAGGCGATATTATGACTTCATCGCCTGTAGAATATCGGTCATGTTATGATTGCTGTGATACTCCTGGGATCTCTGGACAACCATGTAACGTTTTTCTGTGTTCTCAAAGTAAGTTTTGATGACGCGTCGTCCTTAACTATCCTCTACTTTAACAGAAGACTTCAAGTACTTCAAGTACGTAATTTTGATAATAATATATATATGTCATATATAGATAAATTAGATTGAACAATTCATACCGAACTTCATATCTCTCATATGAAATGGAAACGAATGTAATTTTCTTTTTATCACATATAAAACTTTCAGGACACTTTTGTGAACTATTCGTGAATAAAGTATTTTATTAAACTGATACAAAATCTACATTGGTTATATTTCAACACTAGATATTTTTTCCTTGGTGACGTCAGAATTAGTATTATCGATGTTCTTATAGAGTTGTTATCAGGTAAGTGCGGTTATCATTTGATTGTACAAATCTGACTAAGTTTATGCTGAGGGTTGGAGAGTTGGGTGGGCCCTGATTGGATTTATATATATATCGTTTGTGTTCGTGTACCTTGATGTACGTATCATGTGTTTGTGGACGTATACAATGTTTGTTTATTAACACATGTTTTGATATACTAATCTTTATATTTTTTTATACATCAAATCTGGTTTTCGTATTTTTCAGACTCAACATCCGTCCCTGGCCACTAAGTATAACGTCGCTCTCAAAAATAAATTGGTTGGTTACGGATGTCGTTTTGTGTTTTAAAAATTCGACCATCTTCAAGTGATAACAAAATCATATGTGAATACAGTATATCCCAGTGATAATAACATCACACGTGACAACAGTATGTCCCAGTGACAACATCATCACACGTGACTACAGTATATCCCAGTGATAATAACATCACACGTGACTAAAGTATATCCTAGTAATAATAACATCACATGTGACTACAGTATGTCCCAGTGATAACATCACCACGTGACTACAGTATGTCCAAGTGATAACATCATCACGTGACTACAGTATGTTCCAGTGATAATAACATCACACGTGATTACAGTATATCCCAGTGATAACATCATCACACGTGACTACAGTATATCCCAGTGATAATAACATCACATGTGACTACAGTATGTCCCAGTGATAACATCATCACGTGACTACAGTATGTCCCAGTGATAACATCATCACGTGACTACAGTATATCCCAGTGATAACATCGTCACACGTGACTACAGTATGTCCCAGTGACAACATCATCACACGTGACTACAGTATACCCCAGTGATAACATCATCACACGTGACTACAGTATATCCCAGTGACAACATCATCACACGTGACTACAGTATATCCCAGTGATAATAACATCACATGTGACTACAGTATGTCCCAGTGACAACATCATCACACGTGACTACAGTATATCCCAGTGATAACATCGTCGCACGTGACTACAGTATATCCCAGTGATAATAACATCACATGTGACTACAGTATGTCCAAGTGATGGTTCTCTTTAATTCGCGGCAGTGAGAATTGTTTCAACAAAAACACATATATAAAACAATGATCTAGGACCCAGTCTCTGTATACATTAGGTGCGTTCACATAGGTCCTTAAAGCCATTTGTTGATCATATCAGATTTCAATTACAAACAAAAAGCAAAATCAAAGTTATGAAAAAAAGTCGGAAAAATAAAAGAATAATATGAGAGGTTACACAACGCTAAAACATAAGATAAGGGGAGGTACTATATGAGAGGTAGCATAAGAGATATAACGTAAGGGGAGGTAATATATGACAGGTAGCATAAGGGATGTAACACAAGGGGAGGTAATATATGACAGGTAGCATAAGGGATGTAACGTGAAGGGAGGTGGTAAGTGAGAGGTAGCATAAGAGATATAACGTAAGGGGAGGTAATATATGACAGGTAGCATAAGGGTTGTAACATAAGGTGGAGTAATATATGACGGGTAGCATAAGGGATGTAACATTAGGGGAGGTTATATATGAGAGGAATGTAACATAAGGGGAGGGGGTGTTACATATGAAAGTTAGCAATACGGACAAAATATAAGGAGAAGTAATATATGAGGGGTTGCATAACATAGGAAACATAAGGAATGTAATATATAAGAGGAAATATCAGGGATGTAACGTAAGGGAAAGTAATATATGAGATGTAGCATAAGGGATGTAACGTGAGGGGAGGTGATATATGAGAGGTAGCATAAGGGATATATCGTAAGGGGGGTGGTAAGTGAGAGGTAGCATAAGGGTGAAACATAAGGAGATGTTTTATGTGAGAGGTGGCATAAGGGTGAAACATAAGGTGGAGTAATATATGAGGGGTAGTATAAGGGATGTAACATAAGGTGGAGTAATATATGACATATAGCATAAGGGATGTAATATAAGGGGAGGTAATATATGACATGTAGTATATGGGATGTGACATAAGGAGAGGTAATACAAGCATTCTGTCCTCAGAATTGTTCTGGCGCATGTCTGTCGTATAGCAGTAAGGCTTCCATCCCCGTATATATTTTTCTTTCGTAGCTACAAAAGGAATTGAATGTGTTATCTTAATACTATCAAAAAGTTGTGCAAAGCAAGATGTTCATCCCAGTATCAGCTCACTAGATTTACCGAGTATGCTGATTAAAAAGAATTACACGCCCTTCTTAATTTAGAAAAACAAAGAATTTTGTGGTTAACACCGGAACAGTCATAAAAACATTTTATATATAATGCCCCCAATGAGACTTTAGGAAACATACTATACTTATTATGTTATAGAAGCAAAAGATACAAGGCGACATAGCCCCTCACGCAATTCCGGAATTGCACATTCATTTTTCGGCTTCAGTTTTACTGGACTGTTTCCGGTCAAACGTGGACGTTACCCGGATGAGAAAGGAGGAAAAGTTTTTCAAAACACGATGCTTTGTTTCATAATTATCGTTTCAATTGATCCCATTTGATTGCACGCACACCATCAGAATCACTCATGAAGAAGAGAATGTTTTCCAAGTTCACAAATTACCTCCATCAAGCTGTGGAAGCGGTGAGTATGTGCAAATTGAGTGGTGTTGACATCAGTGTTTGTCGAAAAATTAGAGGAAATGTCTTGAGTCAGTTTAGGCCTATATATAGACTGTTGTCTTGATTTCCGAATGAGCAAATATCCCTGGTTATCTTTCATTTATTTCTTCTTTGCGTCAACTTGTTAAAACCACAATTCTTCCCAGAAGATAAACAATACGGAAAAGTTTTGATTCAGTAAAAAATATTTGACAGGAACTGACAGGTCGACATCCGTTTTATTTCTGAAATATTTACGTAGTGCATCTATTCTGAATTTATGGGATAGAACTCGATTAAATTACTTTTTTTATTGGTAGATAGGTTTACACCACAATTAACATATCAAACACACGTGTCACCACATTACTTTTACTTACAGATGAAGATACACACTTAGAACTGCTGATAAGGAATTAATCATTTTGTTCAGTTAATTCCTTTTTAAAACATATGGAATATATATATATTTGTATAAATATCGTTGAAATGTATATTATAATTCAGAACTGTCCCAAGAAAATTGTATGTTTCTAAAAGAAAAGAATGGTCGCCAGTTTTGTCATGTTGGATTTTTTCATTATTTCATTACCAGTAGTTCAATCTGTTTCACAAGTTCCATTTAGTATATGTACTAAAAGGAAATAAATATAATGCTGTAATATATATTTTAAAATTTTTTTTTCAAACTATGTTTTAAGTTCAATATAATCACTAATAATCATGATGGTTGACTGCTAATTGGCACAAAGTTTATTATACTTACATCCAGATTTATACCTTCAGTATGATTTATAATCATCATGATATGCCGTATGATCGAGACTGTATTTAACAACATGTACAAGCCAAACCAGCATGCTCTAATTTCATAGGGTTAAGAACATTAAATGTTTTTGTCTTATGCTTGGGTATGATAACAGTGCGAGAACATTTTAACCAATGACGTTGTATTGCTAATCTAAATTTCTGTGTTATGGAACTTGAATTGCTAATTTAATTTGGCCAATAGGTACTTGAGATTCTCGAAATTTTACAGGATAATCCATAATAGTATATATATGTTTGAATAAGCTCTATTGCTGAAAGGTGAAACACAGGTCTGCCATTATATTTACAATACAAAACAAATATGGATATTCATTATGTAACAATATTAGCCTCAAAAATTGTTATTACAGCTTGCCCCACAGATTCCCTTACAGGAGGAATTTGTTTATCACTGGAAATCAGTAACTGGCTACTTCATGGACAACAGAGGTAGGTTTATTTTTTAATGATGAATTGATAAGAAACATTAATTATTAATGCTATAATTGCAAAGACATTTTTAAAATGGTAAAGTTTATTCATGGCTCAAAGATCTTGGAAATTTTGTTGTACATAAAGGTTCAACATCCTTGTAACAATCAGAGATCTCAGAAATACACAATTAAAAGATTTTTAAGAGCTTCAGAAATCAATGCTTATAAAGCCATTGATTTATAAACAACACAGTTTTATAGTTGACACATGAAGCTGAAAATAAGCAATTATAAAAGGATTATATGCATTAAATTATCAATGTTGAAACTAGAACCAATTCCCATGACTTCTTAATTCTGATGCTCTATTAACTTTTTGAGATCGTCTTGAATCCGTGTGTACATCTTTATCAGCTAGTAGCTCAAGAACATTTCTTGAAGATACATTTGTGGCAATTTCTTTTCTTAATTATCATTGGAATGTTGACTCAGGCACATGTCACTTAGTTCTGGCATTCATCAACTCCAGTGTGTCTTAAAAATCACTGAAACATGATAGTTATTATTAAACTTAGAACAATGTTCACATGATTTTTTGTAATTGTGTCGCCTGCAGAGCTGGCGGACACTTAGGGATCACTTTGTCAGTCGTCGTCGGCATCCATATGAAAGTTTTCCTGACTTTTTTCGGTAATGCTATGGGTTATCAAAATGAAATTTAGCATATGGCTTTTTGTTGCAAGGGTACAGATTAAGTTCGATTCCCGGCTGTCTGTGACCCTTTTTGGCAGAGTTATGCCCCTTTCAACAGAAAATTTCCCAGGAATATTGTTTCCTTGACTTTTTTGGCTTATGCTTTGAGTAATCCAAATGAAATTTAGCATATGGCTTTTTGTTGCAAGGGTACAAATTAAGTTCGATTCCCAGCTGTCTATGACCCTTTTTGGCAGAGTTATGCCCCTTTCAACTTAGAAAATTTCACGGGAATATTGTTTTCTGGACTTTTTTGGCTTATGCTTTGAGTTATCGAAATGAAATTTGATGTATGGCTTCTTGTTGCAAGGGTACAGATTAAGTTTGATTCCTGGCTGTCTGTGTCCCTTTTTGGCTTAGTTATGCCATTTGAACTTGGAAAATATCTCAGGAATATTGCTTTGCCCTTTATGCTTCAAGTTATAGAAATGAAATTTGAAATTACAACTTTATGGTTGATCGTTGCACATCCAGTTCAATTTCTTGGTGACAGTGACACTTTATGCAGGCGACACATACAGTTCCGAGGAACTCTTGTTATAATCTATAAGCTGCTTTAATCAGAATTAAGTTTTATGTTCATATCCTAATGATTTTACTAAAGTTCATGTTAAACTTCTTTGTTTAAATGAACTGCCTTCTGTTCACATTGCAGGTGACAAATTGCCTGTGGATCAAACCAATATTCCAGTACACCTAGACCAGATGGTGATACTATTGCAGCAAGAGGAAAGTGTGTCTGACAGGAACAGCACAGGACCATGCATGGAGTATCTCCTTCAACATAAACTATTAGAGACCCTGTACTCCCTTGGTAGGACTGATGTAAGTGTTGGAAGAGCATATAATTTAAAGGGAATTAGCAGTTAGATTTCAATATTTTTCCCATGTGTTTGATTTCAGGCAAGCATTGTAATACTTAAAATCAGACTCTTCACAGAATTATAACACTCTCTGAGAGAAGCTTATAGAGATTATCAGCTTCAAACTAACACTATTTGACACTCCCTGTGTGTCTATCACCTATCACTGTTTTGATCAAAGATAGCTGAGTTTTTCCCATGACCTTTCAGAGCCTCGTTTTAACCTGCCGTTTTGATGTGATTTGTTACTATGTATAATTATGTAATTAGCCAAAACTTAATTTGACAGCTATGTTTCAATTCTTACTTTGTAAAATGACCTCTTGTTTGACACTATGTGTGTGACAGAGCGAAATAGATTAATTTGAATTAATCTGAATCTGAAATTACATGTGCAAAGACATTGTTGACAGTCTCAGAATGATAATGATTTGAATTACTGTTGGGTCGCTCCTATTTTATTTTAATTTTTTGACATTGTTAATAAATTGATTATGCATACTTTAAAATATAATAATTAACAGAAAATACACAATTTTTAACAGATATTTAAATGTTAGAATGCATTTCATCAGTTAAGAAATGAGTATCTAGCCATTTGGTCCCTTCAACACAATATTATAGGTGAGGATAAGATATTGCACAGCACTTGTATTATTCTAAGGTATGAAAGAGAAGATACACAATAGGAATTGAAGCCAATAAGATTTAATGTACTGCAGTACATTTAAAAGTGAGCACTCCACCACTTTTCCACATTGGTATTAGAATACTCAAACAGTATTTTAAAAACTTTGTGTGTTATTCTTACCTATAACAGAGAACGTTTAATATACATCTTGAAAATTCCATTTTCCAAAAATCAGTTTCTTTGATCTCTATTGTGAAAACTAGTGCCACAGAAACTACAGATCATTCCAAATCAGAACAGAGAAAAAAATGTATACATTTGTGTATTTAGTTGTGGTGTATGAAATTTAGTGTTTTGCTAGATGCATGTAATGAAGAGTCAATGTTCATTGTTTTATGCTCACATTAGAGTTCATGATTATATACATTCAAAGAATTAGATAAAACAATCACATTGTAAATTAATTTTATTTCACACCTTAGCTTTAACACAGCAAATATATTATAAATTTAAGAGATTAATATTAGTAATTTTTTTTCTTATCTCGAAATGGTTAGATCTGCCTTAGAAATTGATTTTCTGATGTTTGTAGAATTCGTTGATGTTTTGTGGCAAAAGTATGTTCATTTAAGATATTATATTTGTACTCAGTCATTTTTACCACAAATATTTCATATTGATTTTCATTGTAGCATCCCCCGGGTATGAAGCAAGCAGTTCTGACATTCTTCACAAAGTTATTGTCCCGACTGGAACAGCCACTACTACCCCATGTCAATGTCCATAGGGCTGTTCATGTAAGTGTTAGGTAGGGGTAACTGTCCATGTGTGTGTTAGGGCTAGGGCTAGTTGTCCATGGCAGAGTGTGGTAGAGCTTTTCATTTGTGTGTTAGGGCTGTCCATGTGTGTGCTAGATGAGGTTCTCGGTCCATGGAAGTGTGAAATAGGGCTGACCAAGTGTGTGTTAGGGCTGTCCATGGAAGTGTGAAATAGGGCTGACCAAGTTTGTGTTAGGGCTGTCCATGGAGGTGTGAAATAGGGCTGACCAAGTGTGTGTTAGGGCTGTGCATGGAAGTGTGAAATAGGGCTGACCAAGTGTGTGTTAGGGCTGTGCATGGAAGTGTGAAATAGGGCTGACCAAGTGTGTGTTAGTGTATGTTAAGGCTGTTCATGGAAGTGTGAAATAAGGCTGACAAAGTGTGTGTTAGGGTTGTCCATGAAAGTGTGAAATAGGGCTGACCAAGTTTGTGTTAGGGCTGTCCATGGAAATGTGAAATAGGGCTGACCATGTGTGTGTTAGGGCTGTCCATGTAAGTTTGTGGTAGACCTGTCTATGTAAATATTTGTAGCACTGTCCATGTAAGTTTGTGGTAGACCTGTAAATATTTGTAGCACTGTATGTAAGTTTGTGGTAGTATTTATTTGTAGCACTGTCCATGTAAGTTTGTGGTAGACCTGTCTATGTAAATATTTGTAGCACTGTCCATGTAAGTTTGTGGTAGACCTGTCTATGTAAATATTTGTAGCACTGTCCATGTAAGTTTGTGGTAGACCTATGTAAATATTTGTAGCACTGTCCATGTAAGTTTGTGATAGACCTGTCTATGTAAATATTTGTAACACTGTCCATGTAAGTTTATAATGCAACCTTAGCTTGACTTGACAAGCTATTGATGGAAATAAATTTGAAATACTTTGGTCAGGTGTTCACCAGATTTATTGGCTATTTTGTATTCTTCAATCACAGACATGTGTTAATAAACTACAGAGGAGAAAAATCCCCCCTCTCAGACAAAGTTGTACATGTATGTTATTTTAGAATCCAAACCAAAATTCTGGTATGGTATGTTTATATAATAATAAGAAGATGTTTAAAACATTTATGTTTGTATTACTTTGTTGGAAGATAGTGTTAAACATTTCACTTTAGTTACATTAGACTCTCTGGTGTATAATGAAGACTTCGAAACTTACATATTCAGCTCTAAAATAAATATCTAAGAATTCTAAAATCTGCTGATGTGTAAGTATGCTCATATTGTAGCGTCTTGTAAAGGCATGTGGTGAAGTGAAAGCTGCCCCATCTGAAAGCGAAGAGATTCAGTTCCTTTGTACTGTATGTGCCAAAATCAAAGAAGACCCTTATCTAGTCAACTTTTTTATTGATGTGAGTATGCTTGGTATTATTTTTGGTTGATATCAGGGATGGTATAAATAGACATGATTATGAAAATTAAACAGCTTTGAAAAAATGGAGAAAAGGAAGAATCTTGTAATTAAAAAAATTGAACTCGTCCTTGCACTCAATAACGATTGATAGATGGAGTCAAGAAATGTGTATTAATTTTAGTTGTGGTTGAAAGTTCTCTGTATCACTAAATATCATCTCAATTAGATACCAAAGAAAAAGATATTGCCTGGAGCTGCCAAACCTGTTACTACACTACCCTCAGAAGAGTCACAACAGTCGGCTGGAGTATCACAACAACAATCTGATGATCAGACTCCAACTGGTACCACCAACACGTTAAAGGAGTTCAGCCTTGTCTCCTCCCTCATTATTCTCAGTCATAGTGCAGTAAGTCCTATATTACACATTGTGGTATTGATGTATAGAGTCAGTTAATTACTGAAACCCAAGGAAGACGAGAGGTAGAGAAGAAAATGTACAGGTTGAAGTCAGATTTTGTATGCGAGTTCTTTTATAGACTTCGGAGTGATAAGAACATTATAATCCAAACTCAAAATTGATGAATTTAGAGCAAAACCTGTGTAATGGAATGATTTACAAGGAGACATTTGAAGGAAACAAGGTGAATGATTAGGTGTTTTGTAATTCAGAAATTCATTTACTGTATTGTGAATGAAGCATAATGTATGCCAGTACTGCTTTATATGGTAAGGTGTTGAATACCAATATTAGGTCTGATAACCACTTATATACACAGAATACTGTCCATCACTCTTGTCCAGGACATACCTCATAATTTCTATCTCTTACCATGGCCAAACTTTGGCTTTTAGCACCTGTGTAAGGTTTTGAAACAAGGCCTTCTGCTAAACTGCAATGTTGCTAACTTTCATGTTCCCCTCTATATGTTAGATAGCAGAGAGTGGTTTTTGTCACAGATTTGAGTGGCCATTTTATGTTATTGTTTTCCATGTAATTTTTGTGGCTATAAATTGCTTCCAGTTGTTTGCATTATGGTAGTCAATTCTATAGTTTGAACTCTGTGATTGAATTTGCTAAAGATAACTTTTTGGATAGACTGATTGAGCTGCACTAACTTGGATTACATATGGAGATTGGTTACAGGACAGTCGTGTAGCAGTGAAGGCCTGTGAGGGACTCATGTTGTGTGCCAGTCTTCCAGAACCTGCTGCAGCTAAGTGTATAATTGAAGACACCTCCTTTTGTACAGAGTTGTCTCAGCGACTGGTTGAGTCCTACCTGAAACTTCCATCATTGGTCAATCCTGTGGATCTGGAGAATGTGGAAGCCAAGTGGGGGTAAGTAGTAAAGTGAAATGAATATATACATTAGAAGTGAGGTATTTCACTTGGTACATATATTTGTAAAGAAATTGATCAGGGCTAGAATATTGTCTTAAAACTGATGTCCTCCTTAATAACTCTCTCTGTTTGTAGTTATATGAAGGATTGACTGAAGGCATATATGTTTCTGATTTTTTATACAGAGGTTGTCTGGCTTTATTATACTTCTGTCACATTATTTGCCTTTTTCTGGAAGTGATATTTTAATACCTCACAAGGAGACATGTCGGTGTGGTCATCATGTAATATTACATTTTAGATCATATTACATTTCAGTATTTACGGGGTTTACTTTTCAAGAAATGATCTTGGAAGATAAGCTTTTAATATAAACATGTTTTACTGTGTATAAGACTGGTTTCTCAGGTTTAGTTATAAACTTGGTTTATGGTAATTACAGAAAAATATGATAAATGATTTACTGAGGATGTATTTAGTGTTATCATGATATGTGTTGTAAATAATTGATATTCACAGACTTGACGTGATAACGGAGAGTGAAGATCATCAGACGTTTTTGGGGAAACGTCACTTGGTTTCCTTTCTGTCCTGGTTAGATTACTGTGATCAGCTGATTGGATTATCCAATCCAAGTGTAGGGACGGCGTTAGCCAAATCAATCAGAAACTTATTCCTGGACGTGATTATGGAGCCGTCCATCCTACAGACGTGAGTAATTGAAGTGTGATGGTTTTTAACATTAACACGTAGCATGCAGTCTATGTTGAAGATTTATATTAAGATATATTTTATTATGAATCGTACACTAATGCATAGGCAACAAAGCATTCATTTTAGATATATAAATGAAAAATAATCTCTGTGTGTTTGGCAGATCCGAGTCTGGAGCTGTGCTGGCCACAGCATACCTGACACGATGTTTGCGGACTGTCTGCTCACCACAGTTGTTACTAGGTAAGACTAAACTGTAATAGGACCACAAACCACTGATAACAGTAACCATTGTGGTTCATATAATGCTGTTCCTACTCAGAAATAATTGTTATTCGTGTGGATAAAATGATTAAAAATTTCAAGTTCAATGACATTGTATGTTTCTTCCTAGCTGTTTTGTAAGAACATCTCTCACTGAAGATATACATATCTTGTTCAGTAGCTTCTTCTCACATTCATAATCAACACTAAAGGAAAAGATACATAATTGTATATTCTTTATGTTTTACATTTTAGAGTTTTCTAAATTTATCCTTGGAGACAATCGGGAGCCAGAAGTGGTAGACATAGCTGAGGGTGCAGTCAGAGATAGACTCATACAGCGATGTAATCATATCTCTGATGAGGTTTGTAGTTTCCGTGAAAATTGGTTTCCTGTACAACCCTTCTCTTCCTGTACAGTAAGAAATCATAGAGCTTATTTGTTTCTTGTAAAACTCTCTTCTTGTACAGTAAGACATCATAGAGCTTATTCGTTTCCTGTACAACCCTTCTCTTCCTGTACAGTTAGAAATCATAGAGCTTATTGGTTTCCTGTACAACCCTTCTCTTCCTGTACAGTAAGACATCATAGAGCTTATTCGTTTCCTGTACAACCCTTCTCTTCCTGTACAGTTAGAAATCATAGAGCTTATTCGTTTCCTGTACAGCCCTTCTCTTCCTGTACAATAAGAACTCAGAGAGCTCATTCATATCCTGTACAACCCTTCTCTTCCTGTACGGTAAGAAATCATAGAGCTTATTCGTTTCCTGTACAACCCTTCTCTTCCTGTACAGTTTGGAGTCATTGGTTTCCTGTACAACCCTTAAACAACATGACATTATACCCATTAGATATAAACTACACTATTCAAGTATACCCAGTAGATATAAAGACACTATTCCAGTATACCCAGTAGATATAAAGAAACTATTCCAGTATACCCAGTAGATATAAACTACACTATTACATTATACCCAGTAGATATAAAATACACTATTCCAGTATACCCAGTAGATATAAACTACACTATTACATTATACCCAGTAGATATAAAGACACTATTCCAGTATACCCAGTAGATATAAAGACACTATTCCAGTATACCCAGTAGATATAAACTACACTATTCCAGTATACCCAGTAGATATAAACAACACTATTACATTATACCCAGTAGATATAAAGACACTATTCCAGTATACCCAGTAGATATAAACAACAATATACCAGAATACCCAGTAGATATAAACAACACTATACCAGTATACCCAGTAGATATAAAGACACTATTCCAGTATACCCAGTAGATATAAACTACAGTATTCAAGTATACCCAGTAGATATAAACAACACTATTCCAGTATACCCAGTAGATAAAAAGACACTATTCCAGTATACCCAGCAGATATAAACTACACTATTCCAGTATACCCAGTAGATATAAACTACACTATTCCAGTATACCCAGTAGATATAAAGACACTACACACTATTCCAGTATACCCAGTAGATATAAAGACACTATTCCAGTATACCCAGTAGATATAAACTACACTATTCCAGTATACCCAGTAGATATAAACTACACTATTCCAGTATACCCAGTAGATATAAAGACACTATTACATTATACCCGGTAGATATAAAGACACTATTCCAGTATACCCAGTAGATATAAAGACACTATTCCAGTATACCCAGTAGATATAAACTACACTATTCCAGTATACCCAGTAGATATAAACTACACTATTCCAGTATACCCAGTAGATATAAACTACACTATTCCAGTATACCCAGTAGATATAAACTACACTATTCCAGTATACCCAGTAGATATAAACTACACTATTCCAGTATACCCAGTAGATATAAACTACACTATTCCAGTATACCCAGTAGATATAAAGACACTATTCCAGTATACCCAGTAGATATAAAGACACTATTACAGACCAGTATACCCAGTAGATATAAAGACACTATTAAAGACACTATACCCAGTAGATATAAGTATACCCAGTAGATATAAACTACACTATTCCATACCCAGTAGATATAAAGACACTATACCCAGTAGATATAAAGACACATTCCAGTATACCCAGTAGATATAAAGACACTATTCCAGTATACCCAGTAGATATAAAGACACTATTCCAGTATACCCAGTAGATATAAAGACACTATTCCAGTATACCCAGTAGATATAAAGACACTATTCCAGTATACCCAGTAGATATAAAGACACTATTCCAGTATACCCAGTAGATATAAACTACACTATTCCAGTATACCCAGTAGATATAAACTACACTATTCCAGTATACCCAGTAGATATAAACTACACTATTCCAGTATACCCAGTAGATATAAACTACACTATTCCAGTATACCCAGTAGATATAAACTACACTATTCCAGTATACCCAGTAGATATAAAGACACTATTCCAGTATACCCAGTATATATAAACTACCCAGTAGATATAAAGACACTATTCCAGTATACCCAGTAGATATAAAGACACTATTCCAGTATACCCAGTAGATATAAACTACACTATTCCAGTATACCCAGTAGATATAAAGACACTATTCCAGTATACCCAGTAGATATAAAGACACTATTCCAGTATACCCAGTACACTATTCAGTATACCCAGTAGATATAAAGACACTATTCCAGTATACCCAGTAGATATAAAGATATTCCAGTATACCCAGTAGATATAAACACTATATAAAGACAGTATACCCAGTAGATATAAACTACACTATTCCAGTATACCCAGTAGATATAAACTACACTATTCCAGTATACCCAGTAGATATAAAGACACTATTCCAGTATACCCAGTAGATATAAAGACACTATTCCAGTATACCCAGTAGATATAAAGACACTATTCCAGTATACCCAGTAGATATAAAGACACTATTCCAGTATACCCAGTAGATATAAACTACACTATTCCAGTATACCCAGTAGATATAAAGACACTATTCAAGTATACCCAGTAGATATAAACTACACAATTCCAGTATACCCAGTAGAAATAAACTACACTATTCCATTATACCCAGTAGATATAAAGACACTATTCCAGTATACCCAGTAGATATAAAGACACTATTCCAGTATACCCAGTAGATATAAAGACACTATTCCAGTATACCCAGTAGATATAAAGACACTATTCCAGTATACCCAGTAGATATAAAGACACTATTCCAGTATACCCAGTAGATATAAAGACACTATTCCCACTATTCCAGTATACCCAGTAGATATAAAGACACTATATACCCAGTAGATATAAAGACACTATTCCAGTATACCCAGTAGATATAAAGACACTATTCCAGTAGACCCAGTAGATATAAACTACACTATTATACCCAGTAGATATAAACTATTCCAGACACTATTCCAGTATACCCAGTAGATATAAACTACACTACCCAGTTATAAAGACCAGACACTATTCCAGTATACCCAGTAGATATAAACAACACTATTCCAGTATACCCAGTAGATATAAAGACTATAGTAGATATACACTATACACTATTCCAGTATACCCAGTAGATATAAAGACACTATTCCAGAAAACCCAATATATAAAGACACTATTTCAATACCCAGTAGATATAAACTACACTATTCCAGTATACCCAGTAGATATAAACTACACTATTCCAGTATACCCAGTAGATATAAAGACACTATTCCAGTATACCCAGTAGATATAAACTACACTATTCCAGTATACCCAGTAGATATAAAGACACTATTCCATACCCAGTATATAAAGACACTATTCCAGTATACCCATAGATAAAAGACACTATTTCAGTATACCCAGTAGATATAAAGACACTATTCCAGTATACCCAGTAGATATAAAGACACTATTTCAGTATACCCAGTAGATATAAAGACACTATTCCAGTATACCCAGTAGATATAAAGACACTATTTCAGTAGATATAAACCCAGTATATATAAACTACACTAAACCAGTATACCCAGTAGATATAAAATACACTATTCCAGTATACCCAGTATATATAAAGACACTATTCCAGTATACCCAGTAGATATAAAGACACTATTCCAGTATACCCAGTAGACCCAGTAGATATAAAGACACTATTTCAGTATACCCAGTAGATATAAACTACACTATTCCAGTATACCCAGTAGATATAAACTACACTATTCCAGTATACCCAGTAGATATAAAGACACTATTCCAGTATACCCAGTAGATATAAAGACACTATTCCAGTATACCCAGTAGATATAAAGACACTATTCCAGTATACCCAGTAGATATAAACTACACTATTCCAGTATACCCAGTAGATATAAACTACACTATTCCAGTATACCCAGTAGATATAAAGACACTATTCCAGTATACCCAGTAGATATAAAGACACTATTCCAGTATACCCAGTAGATATAAACTACACTATTCCAGTATACCCAGTAGATATAAACTACACTATTCCAGTATACCCAGTAGATATAAACTACACTATTACATTATACCCAGTAGATATAAAGACACTATTTCAGTATACCCAGTAGATATAAAGACACTATTCCAGTATACCCAGTAGATATAAAGACACTATTCCAGTATACCCAGTAGATATAAAGACACTATTCCAGTATATAAACATTATACCCAGATATAAAGACACTATTCCAGTATACCCAGTAGATATAAACTACTATTCCAGTATACCCAGTAGATATAAACTACACTATTCCAGTATACCCAGTAGATATAAAGACACTATTCCAGTATACCCAGTAGATATAAAGACACTATTCCAGTATACCCAGTAGATATAAAGACACTATTCCAGTATACCCAGTAGATATAAACTACACTATTCCAGTATACCCAGTAGATATAAAGACACTATTCCAGTATACCCAGTAGATATAAACTACACTATTTGGTCCTCAGGAAAATGTACAGACACAGGTGAGATAAAAACTTTGCATGTTATATACATGTCTGTACAAATATAGTTATCTGCACGCTAACTCAATTACATGTTGCATCTGCATCCAACTATATATCACAATGAGTTAGTAATCTGCTGTGTAAACCCCAGGTCTCTTTATCTTAAATAGAAATCCCTGGGTTGTAGATTTGTTTTATCAATTAGTTAAACTTAGATTTAAAAAGTGAAGCAAAGTTTGAACATTTTTAAGAGTTTTGATTTCTGATGAATTAAGATTAGACTTACCAGTTTGAAAACCATTAACTTGACATGAATTTAAACCACTTCTGATGTAGTATATACCTTTGGATCATTAATCAGACAAACCCTGTATCTGACTAACATCATGTGCCTACATGTATATAATATTGTGCTTTGGTGTTGGTAGTTGTATAGGAAATATCTGTTGAATGTCTCTGTACACCATGATTTTTTACACAAATTAGAGACTCAAAATGAATGAATAACTCCTGCTTCTGAGTAAAGATATACCCATTAGTTTAAACTAACAGAACTCACAAGCGCAATTTACATGTCATGCTTTAGCATAATTTTGTTGTAAACCATATTGGTATATGGTATATATTAAAAAGTTACATATGTATTTGATATTTGTGATGTTTTGATTAAAGATTCAGTTACTTACTGAAGACAGAGTTGGATGGGAATTGGTCATCCTTTCTTAATCTAAAATCTGCTGTAACCTTTGAAAGAAATTACTTTTTTTCTGATCATGCATATCATTTTGTTTTTAGTTGTGTCTGGTCACTTTGAAGCTGTTTGATACACTGCTTCAGAAGGAGGAAGAACATATCATACATAATCTTGTTCTTCGCAATGTGATTGGTCGAAAATACTATAAAGAGGAGGAGCCTGAAGTGAAGGAAGAGGAGTCTGGTGGTGCTACAGAGAATGTCAGTCAGGCAACTGATCCTGCTCCTAGCTCTGAAACTATTGCAGAGGGATCTGTACCAGATTCAGCTACAGAGGCCAAGCCATCAGTGAATGGTTTAGAAAGGAGCCAGTCTGTGGATTCTACAGGTAATGTACCTAATGAAGGTCTGTAGATTCTATAGGAAATGTACCTACTGAGGGTCTGTGGATTCTACAGGTAATGTACCTACTGAGAGTCTGTAGATTCTACAGGTAATGTACCTACTGAGGGTCTGTGGATTCTACAGGTAATGTACCTACTGAGGGTCTGTGGATTCTACAGGTAATGTACCTACTGAAGGTCTGTGGATTCTACAGGTAATGTACCTACTGAGGGTCTGTAGATTCTACAGGCAATGTACCTACTGAGGGTCTGTAGATTCTACAGATAATGTACCTACTGAGGGTCTGTAGATTCTTCAGGTAATGTACCTACTGAGAGTCTGTAGATTCTACAGGTAATGTACCTACTGAGGGTCTGTAGATTCTACAGATAATGTACCTACTGAGGGTCTGTGGATTCTACAGGTAATGTACCTACTGAGAGTCTGTAGATTCTGCAGGTAATGTACCTACTGAGGGTCTGTGGATTCTACAGATAATGTACCTACTGAGGGTCTGTGGATTCTACAGGTAATGTACCTACTGAAGGTCTGTGGATTCTACAGGTAATGTACCTACTGAGGGTCTGTAGATTCTTCAGGTAATGTACCTACTGAGGGTCTGTAGATTCCATAGGTAATGTACCTACTGAGGGTCTGTAGATTCCACAGGTAATGTACCTACTGAGAGTCTGTAGATTCTACATGTAATGTACCTACTGAGAGTCTGTAGATTCTACATGTAATGTACCTACTGAGAGTCTGTAGATTCTTCAGGTAATGTACCTACTGAGGGTCTGTGGATTCTACAGGTAATGTACCTACTGAGGGTCTGTAGATTCTACAGATAATGTACCTACTGAGGATCTGTGGATTTTACAGGTAATGTACCTACTGAGAGTCTGTAGATTCTACAGGTAATGTACCTACTGAAGGTCTGTGGATTCTACAGGTAATGTACCTACTGAGGGTCTGTAGATTCTTCAGGTAATGTACCTACTGAGGGTCTGTAGATTCCACAGGTAATGTACCTACTGAGGGTCTGTAGATTCCACAGGTAATGTACCTACTGAGAGTCTGTAGATTCTGCAGGTAATGTACCTACTGAGGGTCTGTAGATTCTACAGATAATGTACTTACTGAGGGTCTGTGGATTCTACAGGTAATGTACCTACTGAGAGTCTGTAGATTCTACAGGTAATGTACTAATGAGGGTCTGTAGATTCCTCGGGCATTGTACCTATTGAACTTAACCTAAGGTAACTTAAGTATTGAGGGTCTGTAATCTAACTACTGAAGCTATGTAGCTTTCAGAGGTAACTTTCCTGATGAGAGTCTGTAGATTCCACACATAACTTACTTACTGATAGATTAAATGAGAAATCTTTGTTTATATTGTTGTAGCAATTGATATGAACAATTTTACACATCAATTCACAGAAATATGATCTATGTTTAACATTGATGCTGTCACAAGAGTTGATTCTTGTAGGTAGCCTCATATTTAAGCCACATAAATTATGGTCTGGTTGTGTTCCACACAAACTGTAGTCTATCTGCATTTCTTTATAAACTATAATATGGCTGTGTACCACACTGATTTGAAGGTACTTCTGGAGAGTCTAGTCTGTCATTCGGCTCCAGTCCTACTACCTCACCCAGCAGAGGCAAGTCAGAAGTGCACAAGATTGTCAACAGGTATTTCTTATCTGAACAGATTTCATGTTTTCAGTCATAGATGACAGAAGTCAAAATATTCTGGTTTATTGAGTAATTGAATTGAAATGACAGTGCATTAAAAATGAAATGTTGTAAAGTTATTTGTACGATAAGTATAAATCTATATGTGCAAATGTTCTTTTATCATCTCTTATCTTTTCAAAATAGAAAATCTGTTCAGAAATACACCATGCATTTTGCTGTTCCATCTTTGTTGTAGCAAGGGCTAGAAAACCTTTAATGTTATTCTATAGATAAGACTTACCATCTTTGACTTCAGTTTTCTGTCTCTGCTGCCGGAGGAATTGAAGTCCAGTTACCAGACTGCTGACAGTGGCTATGATATGTACCTACGGGATGCCCATAAACAGGTGAGAGCAGTGGCAGTATGATTCTGAAAAGTGTTTTATGTGTACATCTTGTAATGTAGTACCACAATATTGATTTCTACACCAACTGCTTTCAAATTGGATGGCATGTGACAAGTCTTTTCCTATGTTGTTTGGTGAGATAGCCTTCAGCAATGACCGTGTTTGTTTACATAGTGGGGTAAAAACCAAGGAAACAAAATCACCATTCGTGATAGGCTCTGATTTTATATTAGAAGGAGATTTGGATTCAACTTCACTTCTTCTGATAGATTGATAAAGTAATAATCAAAAACTTGTGTAAGTCTCAGTTCTGATGTGATAAGCTTTATTGATGTTACTGCTGAACATAACAAGCCTGATTTCATTGGTCAGTTTAAAGATGTGAGTGGTATGTGTTCTGGATGGACCTGGCCAACTGAGGCTGTTCCAACGGGGGACAAGTCCGAATCTGCTTTCTACGAAGGTGGCTTCCTCAAAATGCTTCTAGACAAACTCTCACATATGCTTAATCAGGTAAGTCACCAAATTCTATAGATGGTCTTTAACTTGTAAATACCTCTGTAGGTCAGTACTAAGTAGAATTTACTGGAGAACAAAATGTTATTTGTATATTAGATTGATATTTAATCATTAAAAGGAAATTTACCTGCACTTTTCATCAACAATAAACAATGCAGAATCCAATGCTACTTTTCAGTTATAGGTTGCCATTGTGTGCTTCAGTTATCTTTGAAAAAAACAAAGAGATAATTTGAAGTATGTTGGCAGAAAATGCAGTTTATTAGAAACTTGGTCATTGGGTGATAAATATATGTTGGCAGGTTTTTACTAATGGTAAAATTGATAATTAACTGTTGTCCCGATCAAGCTGGTGATATATATAGGGACATGTTTGAAATCAGCTTGACCAAGTCATGCACAACACAAGTACAAATTTGTGTGACATGTGTTAAGTGAATAAATAGGAATAATTTGATGAATATTGTGAGGATAAAACTCCTTAAAGAGTTTTTAATGATACAACACCAAGTGGTCAGCTCAAGTTATGTGTGTTTGGGGTAGTGCAGTTCTACTCTTTTTAAGAGTCCTTTACATACTGTAAGTCAGTACACTGCTTTGTGTTCCAGTCATACTCGATGAACCTTCAAGTGACCTTGTTGGTGTCCAAGCTGGCCATGCTACCCCATCCACACCTCAGCGAGTACTTGTTGGAGCCTAATTTGCCCGTAAAGGATGGTGCAAGGACACTCTTCTCCATCCTAACTAAGGTATATTAACTCTCCCAGACACTTCTCACATGCACCCCAACATCCCCTGTCAGATAAACCTTGCTAGTAAATTACTGTAAACCATATCCCAGAGAAATACCCAACATCCTTACCAGGGCAAGTAATCCCTGTCAGATATACCTTGCTAGTAAATTACTGTTAACCATATCCCAGAGAAATACCCAACATCCTAACCAGGGCAAGTAGCCCCTGTCAGATAAACTTTGATGGTAAATTACTGTTAACCATATCCCAGAGAAATACCCAACATGCTAACCAGGGCAAGTAATCCCTGTCAGATAAACCTTGCTAGTAAATTACTGTTAACCATATCCCAGAGATATACCAAACATTATACTATACTTGAAAATATAAGATATATCCTGGATAAATTTGACAATATCTGACTGTAAACAAGGTATTTCAATACAGATCATTTAATACAGCTACAATATATTGAAAAGCTTGTGCGACATTTTGGTGACTAGTATCCTTTATCCTGTTATCACCAATAGACAAACATGCAGCAAACATATATTTAGGATATGATTTTTAGCTGATAACAACCAAAACAACAAGCCAGTTAGGCTACACCTACACTTACCTACACATAGTTGCATACAATTTACTCAGAATTGTACACTCGGGTTCCAGTATTGTATACAAATTTGACAACTGATTTCAGTTATACTGTCTTGTACCTGATCATAGCTGTGTGAAATTCCATGGTCTCCCTCATCTTGATTCAGAACTGGCTCCCTATAACCTGAGTTGCAGAAATTTCCATCTCGTTGGTTTCATCAGCTGTGATTGTGATGAAATACTAATACTTGTCATATGTGTTTTCTTTGACAGATTGCAAGTGAAATAAATGTGAAGCTTGGAAATGACCCAGGGCTTAGCCAGAAACTAGTAGTTGCAAGGAAACAACTGATGGGCATGTCACCAAACATTCACAGGTAAATTTTGTCATCATCATATTCTTCTGTAATAAGGAATCTGATATTTCAGCAATTCTGGATGTATAGAGTCTGTCTGCCATTTAATCATTATTCATGCTCTCAGCATGTCTTGTCTGTGTTATAAAATTATTATGCCTGTGTGAGTTTGCAATGACATTGCTTGGATTGCTGTGAATGTCTGTGTTTATAAGTTTTGTACAGAAGCATGGGTCTGCTTTGTTGGCATGTGTAAATCATATATTAATAAGAGAGAACTAATTTGTAGCAATGATTTTAAAATTAACACCAATATTACTGGTACATAATTCTTGAATTTTTATTTCTAGTAGACATTTTGTTTCTGTATTGTTTGCTTGAATAACTCCTCATCCTCGATACTCCAGAAATTACCCTATACTCAATGAAATTGAATATATTTTCAACTCTCCATCATATAACTGATAAGCTTACACTTAAATAATCTGTCACATTTTCTTTTACTTGTGAACTTTGTTTCACCATTATTCTGTTTGATATATAACATTGATATGTGTTGTGAGATCTGTAACCTTGACCTTTGATCTTGACCTTGCCCATTACTTTGTACAGTTCTATATATAATCTTGATCTTGTGTGTTACCTTGACCTTTAATTTATGTTGTTAGAATGAGGATGTTAAACACTACTAACATTGGGTAAGTGGCATCATTATTTTAGTGTTATTTCTTCACTTTATTAAGGCCTGTCTCTATTACAAACCTTCCTCGTAATACGTTGAATTAACAAACCTTCCTCGAAATACGTTGAATTGTGTTGTAAATACAATTGACTTCTGAAGGAAAGGAAACTGAAACGGAATTTGTAAAAGTTGGTTTTTAAGATGAAAGTAAATTTCCTATAAGCTGCATTATGTGGACATAGATATATTTAAATTTTCATTAGAAATGAAAAATGTTGATCAAATACAAATCAAGGAAAATTATATTCCTCATAGAATTATTGTTGTAGTGCAGCACTGATAAATTCATATCTCATGCAGGTCCTTTTGAAACATTTTAGAGTTCCATATGGCTACTGTCAGTACAAAGTACAATTCACTGTGTGCTTGACCACAGTACTGTTAACAGATATTGTACATGGAGTTGCATTTTATCAGAACTTGATAAAGTGACAAGGAGACATCAGGATCAATTTGCTTTTAACATTTCACAGCTTTTTCTGCCAGGCGCCCATTTCATCATTATTCAGAGTCCAGGATTCACATAACAAATGTCTTTTTGATATTGATACTCATGTAAATGTATATTTATGAGATAAAAATGCTGATGAAAAGCTCAACAGGAATGAAAACGATGAAAGATCAGATTTCTTTGCTACATGAAATGAATAAAAAGTGATGTTAAATATTCAGCATAACTTAGCTGAGTGTTATAAGTAAACCTTATACCTTTATCAAAATGCAGGAATGGTTAACATTCAATATCATCTGCGAGAATTTCCTCTTGTAGTAGATAGTCTGTGGATTTGGAAGTGTGTGCATGCCATTCGGAGGTATATTGGGTCAACTCTTCAATTTTATACTCGGATCCAAATATCTACACAGTAAATCTGTGGTTTTTTCTAGTGACCTGGTTATGTTAGAATTTGTTTTATTGTCAGTGTTTGGGTATCTCACCTGGTATGAAGTACCTGTGATCTTAGAAGTTAAACATTTCACATTATTCACAAGTTCTCCCAATTCACTGGTGAAAAGTATAAATAATTTGCACGTTGCTTGCTGGCATTGAGGGCTACCAAGTTTGTTTATATGACTTTAATTAATCTGATCCTGACCTATAAATGTAAATGTTCTGTTGATAATAGAGAATATTGAAATATACATGTTTTCATGGTAATTAATATTTTTGTATGAAGAGTAGAACATCTGATTATCAATATTATACATAATATGATGTTTAAGTATAGAAATATCACTGATAAGTTGATGTCAACACCAGCCTTTATCTGCTTTTTTGCACTGGTTATTTTTTTGGAAAATTTCACAGCATGCTAAACAAAGCTCTATTATTTTGATAATGTTTCTGTGTATTTTCCTTTGATTTGTTGGATTATATCAGCAGACTTTGTTATATAACACCAGTTCTTTCTATATTCTACACTGAAAAAACTGTTTAATTCAATCTATAAAGATCTGAGGCCAAAAAGTTATGGTTCCTGTGTGGGGGTGACACTGAAATCTGGACACCCTGTCATGTAGACACTAACTAATAAGAGACTCAGGCACATATGTTGTAGCCATCAATAAGATACTGTGACAAGTAAACAACAATCAGATATCTAGGCACATACTTTTAAGACACCAATAAGACACTTACACATGTAGACACCAATAAGACATCCAGGCATTAGACACACTAAAACATTCTGGCTTACAGGCTCCAATAAGACATATAGACAACAATCAGACACTCTGGCAGATAGACACCATTAAGATATTTGCATGTATACACCAATAAGACACATATGTATCTAAACACCCATTAGACATCATGGCATGAAGACATTATTAAAACACATTTGTTCTCCTGTTCCAAATGTCCAGTACCAAAAGTATCGCCTTCCTCTCCAGAACATAGTTCAGCCTGTGATGATTCTTATTAAGCAGACTTGATGAAAGTAATATGCATGTCTCATTAACGTCAATTTTGTTATGTGATAGAATGGCGTCAATTTCTGTTGGGAAATGGACATAAGGTAATTATCTCTGTTGATGTTCAATTTTACATCCTGTTACCTTTGACTTGTTTTCTGTTGCTAGATTGGAAGATCACGGTCAGCTTGAAGCCATTATTGTCCTTGAAGAATTTTGCAAAGAATTGTCAGCCATTGCTTTTGTGAAACATCATGCTGCTGTAACAAGGACATAATGAAGGTGAAAGAAGTAAACCCTTTGTGTTCAGATGGATCCTTTATAATCTAGTCTTGCTACAGTCCTAGTCAGAATATGATGACAGGAAGCACAGTCTTCACCTGCTCTAATGAATGAGGAGCTGTTTACTCAAGTCTTGTAACTCCTACTACCTAGCACATAGATTTTACATGCAAGGTGCCAAATGTTTCTTTACCATTTTTGTCCTGTCAAGGCTTTATGATACTGTAAATACAATACCCATGATTACTGTTTGAATTAAGTCCTTTAAAATAATTAACTAAAGAAGATTGAGCTTATAGGTAATTAGGAATCATTCATGTGCCTTTTTAATGGCACATCAGTAACCTTGCCTTTATGAGATATCTTTACATTTTTCAGTAGGAAATTATTCAAAAAGAAATATGTGCTGCAGTAAGGAAGCATATACATAATCTGAGGTCATTGGAGTAATGACCAGTTATTGTTAGAAAGTCAGTGCTGACTGTATATTACCCAGATTACTTGTATAGAAGATAATTCCCTGACATTTTACTTTATTTCATGCAAGAGGGTATCTACAGTAAATCCTTCCATCATTTTGTAATGCAGAGTTATCTGCTCTTGTAAACAGGTACTGATTAATTACATCATTTTCTTATGACATAACCCACAAATAAATGGTGTAACAATCAATACATGCCCAAATGGCCAGATAACTCTGTATTATGAAAAGACATAATTAAGTTGAAGAGACTGCATATATCATTTTTGAGTATTTATGGACAACACCTGTTAAAACAATATTACTGTTTGATTTTTTTACTGTATCTAAATTTGGTCTCAATATTTATCAAAAATGTAGAAAGGAAAAGAATGTCTTTTGCCAAAATATTCATGTTAAAATAGTTCTAGTCTATGAAGCTACTTTGTTCCCATTGGGAAGTGATAATTACCATTTAATTTTGGTATAAATTGTGTATTATTTTTCTGTCTTCCAAAGCACCGTCAGACTGCAATGTTAATATGTCTGTTGTATGTGATTGCTTGTGACTTGAGATGAAGGTTACACAGTTCAAGTCTTTGTGAATGCTGTGCTGTGTTTGTGATGTTAATTACATTATGTTAGCTATGTGAGTACAGTGCTATATCTTACGAGGGTACAACTGTGTATATGAGTGTAAGAGTGAAACCCTATTTTTTAGGCCTTAGATACGCCTGTCGAAATACAGGTCGTATTTTGTTATCATGTGAGCAAGTGGGCGACACACATGGTGTCCGCTCGATAACTTGAGAGTAGTTTTCAGAGGATCAACTTCATACTTCATTACCATGATAGCTTGGACAAGTTTGATTACTGTAATTTTTTAACCAAAATTCATTGAGTTATGGCTCTTATTCAATTAGCAAAACAATGTCTGCTTGATAATGCAAGTAGTTTCAACAGATCAACATGACAGATCATAGAAAGGTTCAATTCCATGATAGCTCATGCAAGTTGACACTTGGACAAGCTTGTTGACCGCATTTTTTCTCCTGTAATGCACAGACTTATGACCCTTTATTCAATTACCTAAACAGTGCACCCTTGATATCACATTACCTAAACAGTGCCCCCTTGATATCACAATTACCTAAACAGTGCCCCCTTGATATCACAATTACCAAAACAGTGCCCCCTTGATATCACAATTACCTAAACAGTGCCCCATTGATATCACAATTACCAAAACAGTGCCCCCTTGATATCACAATTACCTAAACAGTGCCCCCTTGATATCACAATTACCAAAACAGTGCCCCCTTGATATCACAATTACCTAAACAGTGCCCCCTTGATATCACAATAACCAAAACAGTGCCCCCTTGATATCACAATTACCTAAACAGTGCCCCCTTGATATCACAATTACCAAAACAGTGCCCCTTGATATCACAATAACCAAAACAGTGCCCCCTTGATATCACAATTACCTAAACAGTGCACCCTTGATATCACAATTACCAAAACAGTGCCCCCTTGATATCACAATTACCTAAACAGTGCCCCCATGATATCACAATTACCTAAACAGTGCCCCCTTGATATCACAATTACCTAAACAGTGCCCCCTTGATATCACAATTAGTTTTCAACAGATCAACTTCAAACTTTATAGGAAGGTTCATTATCATTGGACAAATTTGTTGATCGTATTTTTCCTCCTGTAATTCACGGCATTATGACCCACTATCCATTTAACCAAAAAATGTCTGCTTGATATCTTGATTAGTTTTCAGGGGATCAGCTTCAAACTTCATAGGATGGTACATAACCAGTAGAGAGGGCAATTGAATAACCACAAATTTTTGCCTTTATTTTAGAGGTAGGGCCCCTTATTTCAATCATGTGAACAGTGTTGGCTCAAGACCTAAATTCATGGAGTTAAGGCCCCTTATTTCAATCACCTAAGCAGTGTCTGCTTGTTATCCAATTAGATACACTTAAAACTTTATAGGGAGTAAAGGCCTTTGCAACATTGATGGAACAATAACTTTAGTATTTTGCATGGATCATCTTTGAATTGACACACGATGGTTTACTCCGGTTTCCTCCATCAGTACACAACTGGCACTGTCTGTAAATGGCCTAAATGTGTTGATAAGACATTAAACATCACCTTCCTTTACTTTCTTGTTTTGAAAAGCTCAGTCAACCTTTGACAGGCATGTCATGTACCACCTCACAGAATGTGGTAGAGCTAAACAAAAACAAGAAAGAATCTGAAAATAGGATGGTGTGAGATAAAATTATATGCATGAAAATGATAATTAGGAAAAAACAATTGGAGGGAGATTTAAACATGCCCCACACTTTCCAGGTAAATGTATGTTTGTGCTATATGAACATGTATTTTACCATGAAGGAGAAGTTACTATTAGATTGACATATAGATCATAACTTTAGTGGCTTGTTATTAATTCATATATTGGTTGACAGCTGAAGTTACAGAACATAGAAGTAGGTAGATCCAGACCTAGTATTAGATATATTTCTTACATTACAACATAACATCGAGGCCTGCTTGTTCATCCTGTTATTGACCTGCCACGTAATTGTAGTTGTTAAATTTTAAGACAGTTTATAAGCCTTTTAGTCTTGCCTATCTCCTTTATTTTTATATCAATTTTCATGAACTTGTTTTAATCATTTTACAGAGTTTTCGTAACTGATTCAGCAATTTTATTTTTCTATTATATGATTTGTTTACTAATTGTTTATGTTTGTCCATTTTACTACACAACAGTGAAAAAATTGCTAAGAATATGTGTACTTGTACATGTAATTTCTTTTGATACAGATGATATGAAATGTTGTTTTCAATCATCAAAACAAGCAGTACATCGCATTTAGCTCTGTTGTTCAGAAAATTACCATTCTATAGCAGAATTGGTGTTGATACTAGTATGAAACAAATGTACTGACAATATGTATTGATTTGACAGTTTTGTATAATGCCTCCCTCGTCTTGTTTTTTGCCATTTTATTCATATTTTCAATTATTTTGTTTCTTATCTACATATACAACTGTATATATTATATTTATTTTGAAATGAAATCCATACCCGTGTGTCTCCTGAGATTCAAATCTCAATTTCTAGTCATATTAAGCTTCCAGAATACTCATGCCTTAATTATTTTCCTGAATGAGACCTGTTATATTTATGAAATCATGGTATTAAAATGTTTTGATGGAAAAAATATCAGGTTGTCTTTGGCTGTTTATTTTGAAGTAAGGGAAACTGAATATTTATATCAGCATTCAGGTTATGGAGAGGAAAATTAACAACGTCGGTATTGACTGAATTAACATTATAAAGAGAAAAACTAACCATGTCTTTGTTAAACAGAATTAAGATCACAAAGAGAAAAAATGATATTGTCAGTGTTGAACTGAATTAAGAGTATAATGAAAACTAATTACATTGTCAGCTTTGAACAGAATGAAAGATACAAATAAAACAAACAAATAACAAAGTATGGTATTCTGGTTTCCAATACCAACAAGAAAACACAACTCTGTTGACTTCATATTACCAATGTCAAACAAGAAAATGTAATCCATCTAATTCAGTTTGTGTGATGGTTTTATTTCTTGTGAACAGCAAAGATGGGGTTTCCTCATAGTGGCTAGTGGCTAGTGGCTACCACAATAAACAACATACAAGAGTCCTGATGCATACTGTCAAAAGTAATTATGGTAAATTGTAGTGCCAATTAACGCCACCATAATAGGGTGATCCATAATCTTGTCTTCCTTGGAAAGACAAACAGGTGTAGGTAGAGATCCAATCAAGCAAATCTTGGATCCTTACATGAAATTGGAAAGTTGGACGCTTACAACCTGAGCAATCACCAAACCATGTATGGAAAACAGAGCATGGGATACTTTCAAAGAAATGTATTACATTTTTAGTTTGGAAACAAGTAAATGTGACATAATATTTTCAGAATTTAAATTTTCAATATCAGCAGTAGATGTACACCATTCAGTTAATGTTTAAAGGAAGAAATGTGGGATTTCTTGACAAAAGGGAAATTTACCTTTCAAAACACCTGAGAAATGGAAATCTTGCATTGTCAACAGAGAGGAGTACATAACAGGAGAAATATTTACATTTCAACATTAGAATATTGTCAACATTAGAGAAAGGACTGTATATATGAATTGTCAACATTAGAGAGGAATATATGACATCGTCAACATTAGAGAGAACAAAATTAGCAGTGTCAAAATGAGGGAAGTATAACATTGTCAACACTAGAGAAAGGACTGTATATATAAGATTGTCAACATTAGAGAGGAGAGGAATATATGACATTGTCAACACATGAGATAGGACTGTACATAGAACATTGTTAACATTAGAGAGGAATATATGACATTGTCAACACATGAGATAGGACTATATACAACATTGTCAACATTAGAGAGGAATATATGACATTGTCAACACATGAGATAGGACTGTACATAGAACATTGTTAACATTAGAGAGGAATATATGACATTGTCAACACATGAGATAGGACTGTACATAGAACATTGTTAACATTAGAGAGGAATATATGACATTGTCAACACATGAGATAGGACTGTATAAATATATGACATTGTATAACATTGTCAACACATTAGAGAGAACATTGAATATATAACATTGTTAACATTAGAGAGGAATATATGACATTGTCAACACATGAGATAGGACTGTATATAGAACATTGTTAACATTGTCAACATTAGAGAGGAATATATGACATTGTCAACACATGAGACAGAACTATATACAACATTGTCAACATTACAGAGGAATATATGACATTGTCAACACAAGAGATAGGACTGTACATACAACATTGTCAACATTAGAGAGGAATATATGACATTGTCAACACAAGAGATAGGACTGTATATACAACATTGTCAACATTACAGAGGAATATATGACATTGTCAACACAATTGTCAACATTGTCAACATATATGACATTGTCAACACAAGAGAACTGTATATATGACATTGTAAACATTAGAGTGGAATATATGACATTGTCAACATTAGAGTGGAATATATGACATTGTCAACATTAGAGAGGAATATACGACATTGTCAACACAAGAGATAGGACTGTATATACAACATTGTCAACATAAGAGAGGAATATATGACATTGTCAACAGAAGTGATAGACTAGGTCAACATTAGAGAGGAATATATGACATTGTCAACACCTGAGACTTAAGTATATACAACATCGTCAACATTAGAGAGGAATATATGACATTGTCAACACAAGAGATAGGACTGTATATACAACATTGTCCACATTAGAGAGGAATATATGACATTGTCAACATTATTGACGAAAATATGACATTTTCAGCATTAGAGTGGAATATATGACATTGTCAACATTAGAGTGGAATATATGACATTGTCAACATTAGAGAGGAATATACGACATTGTCAACACAAGAGATAGGACTGTACATACAACATTGTCAACATTAGAGAGGAATATATGACATTGTCAACATAAGAGAGGAATGTATGACACTGTCAACACAAGAGATAGGACTGTATATACAACATTGTCAACATTACAGAGAAATATATGACATTGTCAACATTGTCAACACAAAGAGATAGAATATATGACATTGTCAACATTAGAGAGGAATATATGACGTTGTCAACACAAAAGATATGACTGTATGTACGACAATGTCAATATTACAGAGGAATATATGACATTGTCAACATTACAGAGGAATATATGACATTGTCAACACAAGAGATAGGACTGTACATACAACATTGTTAACATTAGAGAGGAATATATGACATTGTCAACACTAGAGAAAGGACTGTATATACGACACTGTCAACATAAGAGTATGACATTGTCAACATTACAGAGGAATATATGACATTGTCAACACATGAGATAGGACTGTACATACAACATTGTTAACATTAGAGAGGTTTATTCTTATATTTCAACTCAATCAATTGCTAGTACATACGACACTGTCAACATTGGAGAGGAATCTACGACATTGTCAACAAAAGAGATTGGACTGTACATACGACACTGTCAACATTAGAGAGGAATATATGACATTGTAAACACTATAGAGGAAAATATGACATTTTCAGCATTAGAGAGGAATATATGACATTGTCAACATTACAGAGGAATATATGACATTGTCAACATTACGAAGGAATATATGACATTTTCAACATTAGAGAGGAATATATGACATTGTCAACACAAGAGAGGATGTATATACGACATGTAACATATATATGACATTGTCAACATTAGAGAGGAATATATGACATTGTCAACACAAGAGATTGGACTGTATATATGACACTGTCAACATTAGAGAGGAATATACGACATTTTCAACACAAGAGATAGGACTGTAGATACGACACTGTCAACATTCATTAGAGAGGAATATACGACATTGTCAATATTAGAGAGGAATATATAACATTGTCAACACAAGAGATTGGACTGTACATACGACACTGTCAACATTAGAGAGGAATATATGACATTGTCAACACAAGAGATAGGACTGTACATAGAACATTGTTAACATTAGAGAGGAATATATGACATTGTCAACATTACAGAGGAATATATGACATTGTCAACACAAGTGATCAGACTGTTTATACAACACTGTCAACATTAGAGAGGAATATATGACATTGTCAACACAAGAGATTGGACTGTATATACGACACATTCAACATTAGAGAGGGATATATGACATTGTCAACATTACAGAGGAATATATGACATTGTCAACATTACGGAGGAATATATGACATTTTCAACACAAGAGATAGGACTGTAGATACGACACTGTCAACATTCATTAGAGAGGAATGTACGACATTGTGAACATTAGAGAGGAATATATGACATTGTCAACACATGAGATAGGACTATATACAACATTGTCAACATTACAGAGGAATATATGACATTGTCAACACATGAGATAGGACTGTATATATAAGATTGTCAACATTAGAGAGGAATATATGACATTGTCAACACATGAGATAGGACTGTACATAGAACATTGTTAACATTAGAGAGGAATATATGACATTGTCAACATTACAGAGGAATATATGACATTGTCAACACATGAGATAGGACTGTACATAGAACATTGTTAACATTAGAGAGGAATATATGACATTGTCAACACATGAGATAGGACAGAGGAATATATGACATTGTCAATACAAGAGATAGGACTGTATATACAACATTGTAAACATTAGAGAGGAATATATGACATTGTCAACATTAGAGAGGAATATATGACATTGTCAACATTAGAGAGGAATATATAACATTGCCAACACAAGTGATTTGACTGTATATTACAATGTCAGTCTTAAAATTATGTGGAAATTCAGAGCACCTCTCAAGAAATAATGATAACAAGTATTTACTTTCAAAATCAAGATTGGCTATCGCACCCTTCAGGCCTTTTTTCATTTTATCTTATTTTTTATATTAAGTTCTTTCAGAGAAGTAGTCTTTAAACCCAGATAGAGTGAAGGGCAATTTGAACATCCATGTTTTTGCACCACATTTAAATAATGTGAAATTTTGATGCAATAGCACAAGTAAATGATATACAGTATATGATGCATTTGTCTACAGCAAAAACCGAAAATAATTCAGTACTGAAGAGGGTTAGAGGCCCTGAATTTGGGTGACACCCTTATATTCCGAAGGCCTAATAGTCCGAAGGCCCGATAGTCCGAATGCCCGATAGTCCGAAAATGGTTACGTATTTTTGTTTCTTATTTAACTATAAATTAAATAATGACGAAATCTGGAGAGAAAAATAGTTAAGTAATAATAACAGAAATCTTTGTAACATTTATTACAGGTTTCGGCACAAAAAATCGCGAGAAAAAATGGCCCTATTGGGGAATTGATTATTTCACCCAAAATTTAAGTCGTTTCTACTATCCCAGAATTCGCGTATTGTCTTCAACGGGTAGCGAGATTGTAAGCAAGATCAAACGTATAACCATTATTACATATTTACGTTGATTGCCAAATATGACAAAAATTTTGCCATATATTTGTCTCTGCATCTGGAAAGTAAAATTACTCGCTGTATTGACGTCCAAAGGCAAGCGTGTCCTTAATAACTCCTTATTAATTATTAACATGGTAAAATATCATGAAGTTTTATTAAAAACAAAAAAAGCACACACACGTACAAAAAAAAAAAAAAAACAACAGGTGAAGTTTGATCCACACAGACCAAGACGGCCAGACCATTTACGGGGCTAAAAAAGCAATCAGTATTTTTTGTACAGAAGTACATGTATATGATTGTAGTCAGAGACGTATATATATACGTGATACATACGTCTCTGTTGTAGTTGACTGGTCTATTCAGCACCTGTATTTGGATTAAAATTATGCAATATTATGTATATATTCCAAGATAAATCGGACAAACGGCCTTCGGACTATTGGGCCTTCAGACTATTGGGCCTTCGGAATATAAGGCGGTCACCGAATTAGGAAGACTGCAATTCTCTTAGTATTGTAGCCTTGGTAAATACTAGCCGCAATATACCACTCAGCTAGAGAGAACTTCTCTTTAGCTTGATCCTTTGAGCCAAGCAAATACATTGAAATATAATGACGTCTGTTACAGCATGACCAATGTACCTAATTTCATTATCCTTACTCAAATGAAAGCAAAGTTATACCCTGGACAAAAGTTTTCGCAAAGGGCAATAACTCTGTATGACTTTGGTGCATTGCCCATCATTTTAGAATGCCTATTGCATAAAAGGCAAGCTATGGTCCGTATAAGATTTTTGACAAAGGGCAGTAACTATAATTGATGTGTTGCGGGACCTAAATTTGGTACACTGCACATCGTCTTGTATGACCGATGAGTACACGCAGTTTTCTTGTCCTTGCTTAATCCAGAGACATATGTGTTATCTACGTCTCTGCTTAATCCAAGGCAAATTTAAGCGCCTAATTTTCGGATGCATAAAGATAAATGTCCTTTATTTGCTCACAGTAATGCTTCTCAATTTATGTTAAATCGATATAAAGACAATTTGAGTTGGCTATTACTATACCCGAATAAATTAAAACCCATCGGAAAATTGTGTAACCAATCACATTTAGATCTTTTTAAAAATAACAAGATTTTTAATGTAAATCTCGTGTTACTATTGACACTGGATAAATAATTAAAATGTTCATCATGTATCTGTGTGAAAATGGGGGATATTCTGATGTGACACGAAAATTAATTATATCAAAATCCGCTTTCGGAAATTAAAGCTCTCACTCCGTGCCGCTTTTTCTGATCACGACAGGTGCTGCCACCTAGAGATTTTTTTTTCAACATCTTTGAAGTGTTTGTAAAGCAGTGTATGTCAATCGGGAACCCTCGGCACTTTCCGCAAGCGAGAAATTTCTCGCCTGCGGAAAGTGCCGAGGGTTCCCGATTGTATATAATGTAGGCCTATCCAGCAAACCGATACAACACCTCCCAATTTCCAAATTATATATTGCTGGACATTTAATATTATGATTGTTTGAAAGCATTAATACAGCATTTTATAGGTAAGCATTTGTATAGGGACTAAGTGTCAAGCTTTCCACGTTCGTCTTCCCCGAGTTGTTTTGGTAATATGTTGTCGTTTGGAAGCTTGATACTGGTCGTTTTCCGTTTTGTTTTTCCACTTTGGCTCGTGTACTTTCTGTACTGTACAATGCGGCCTACAAGAGAGAAAGGCTAATACAATCACTCGCTAATCATCGAAATTATTTTTTATTCATAACTACATTTTGTACATAGATAACTCACTGGGGCTTGTCTAGATGAGTTAAATGCCTATCAGTTGCAGGCTATTTTGTTGGTGGGGAGGGGGCTAACACACATAATTTTAATCGTAATTCAAGTGTTTATCAAGGCCTTGTCTGAACCCACCATCCTAGATAGTAGGTAATTAACACATATGTGTTGATCAACAGATTGCACATAGTACACATATACTCATTAATTCTGAGACTGTACAGTTGAACTGATTACATTATAATGAGTGTCATTTGACAGACGAGGCTAATGCTTGTGAACCAGATAGAATTTATAAGGTACTAATATGTTATACTGCTAAACATACGTAACTGAGTAAGGTACAAGGCCCACCGAGTTATTAGGATCAATGTACTGACATTTCTAGAGACACAACAAGACCATTCAGCATATAGATTAAACACATGCTACTTGGTTGAGCTAAACCTGAGACATACAAACTGTCAAAATAAAAGAAATATGATTTATCAGGCCAGTTTTTAAAAAGAGCAATATTTTAGTTCATAGTTAGTACTCACTGCATAACAGCATGGTGAATTATACTTAGTTTGAATGATTCTGTCTATTGACTCTTATTGGTTTGCTCTCTATAAGAAAGTCAATTAAACATAGGAATTATTCAGAATAAGTAATGCAATTTATCATATAAAAAACGCATGGGATCAGTGCCAATGGCAACATTTTTTTCAATCATAATATTTAAGTAGAATTTTTTGTTTTACAGGTGTGGTGTGTTGATGACATGATGGCATGTACATCAGCTCGCTGTGAGGATGTAGATGTCTCGTGGTATGCCTCCATTGTACACAATTGTATTCAGGAGGATAAACTAAGCAAACTCAAAGCTACACTCAGGAAATTCTCCAAGGAACAGCGACGAAAAATTGTCAACTTTAAAATCAATGGTAATGCTGCATTGTTCAATGCTTGTTTAAAGGGAAAAGTACACATAGGTAATTATATACTTGATGAATGTGGAGGGGACTATGAACAACGAGGAATCTACGAAGTTGAAATTGACCATTCCCGTCATGACGTGACACCACTATGGTGTGCAGCTGTGGCAGGGAATCTGGAGGTGGTTAAATCTCTAATATCTCATGGTGCCAATATAAATAGTCCTTCTGACACAGAGTCTACACCAGTAAGGTCAGCCTGTTACATGACAAACATTGCCGTAGTGAAATTACTGGTGGGCAATGGGGCTGATATCCACAAACCAAACATTAATGGAGGAACCTGTCTCATCAATTCTGTGCAGAGTGTTCGTCTGTGCGAGTTTTTGATATCAAAACAAGTTGATGTGAATGCGAGGGACAATTCAGGCAACCTTGCCCTGCATTACGCTATCAGAGAGGGAAGATTGGACACTGTAAAGTTACTGTTGAGTTGTGGCTCTGATCACACAGCCAAAAATGATTTTGGTGACGATGCCTTACAAACAGCAGCACTGAGAGGTTTTACATCAATTGTTGATTTCATTTTAGAAAATACTGTCCAAAATAATGTGACTGCAATACATTCCTATGAACTTCTTGGTACTAACTTTGTTGATGAAGTACATGATATAGTTGGTGCATTGGATGTTTGGAAAAAAGCCATGTCCATGAGGTGTGCAGACCCTGATAATATTATAAGGAAAAACTTGCCCTTAGATACCAATTATGCATATCAGCATGCGAAAGAACCTGTGAATATGGCAGAAGTAGAACAAATTAGAGAACCAGATGATGTGTACATGCAGGCTTTACTCATCCGTGAGAGAATCATTGGACCATTCCATAAAGACACTACTTTCGGGTTGATGTATCGAGGTGCAGTTTATGCAGATAGCCACAGGTATCAACGATGTGTGGACTTGTGGAAGTATGCTTTCATACTGAGAAACAAGAAGGGGGAGCCACTTAATCATGAGTGCCTATTCACAGTACAGGCCCTTATCAAGCTTTTCTGGGAGATGCAAGTGGAGCTGGAATCTGGCGCCACAGAGGAGAAGGTATGGCAGCTTATTAATGAAATCTAGGCCTGTCATCTCTGTCAAAGAGTGTTATTTTGGGAGGTTAAAATTCAGAACATTCTTTTAAAGTATCAAGTAAAAAGAATCTGATAGTTAAACTAGTCACTGTTGCACATATTTAACAGAAATATGAAATGCACAGTGTGTTTCTCTTTCTAGTGATGAAGTTAATTTCTTGGGCTTATTATGGTTGATATGCATCGCTGTGTGTATTGTGCAAAGGGTAAACATTAAACCATTGTAGTGTTATTATCTTGATATAACTGAGTGCACATACATTGCAAATTTACAAATTAAAGGTGTTCAGTGTCTAGTTCTCGTTCTTCCTTAAAATAAAGAAGAAAGAAAGTGAACCATTTCTGTAAAATTTCATAGTTATTAATTTTGAGCAGTTCATAAATAGGTGGTAGTGATTTTCAAAGAAAATTAGATTTGCAAATTTTTCTTTCTTTAAACCTGCATTTCTAACTACCTAATGTCTTACAGGTACAAATAACAGATGCTTTTGAGGTGTTTGCAATATTGATTCAGCAAATAGAAGGTGGAATAAACTTTCTGAAGACACGTCCTGCCAACCCAAGTGCTTCTCTTGTTGACTTTCAACTGCTTCTACAGTTGTCCCTTCACATGGTTCATCTAATATCTCGACTGGAACCTAAAGATCAGCAGGAATTTGAATTCCACAGTCTTGTACATAGACTTGTTACCCTTGACCCACGTGGCCAAGATATGGAGAGCTTACTTCACCTGGCTGTGGATCCTAAGATCTCTCTGACGAGTGAGGAGTTCTACTCTCCCTTCCCTTCACTGGCTGTAGTTCAGACTCTGATCGCTTGTGGGGCCCAAACTAATGCTGTGGATAAGAAGAGGAACACACCACTTCACAACAGCATAAAGTTTCTTACCTACTCAGAGCTACAGAAAGAAGGAATTCTGGCATGTTTACTACAGAATGGTGCTCATGTAGATATCTATAATGGTGAAGGATTAAGTGCTCTTCAAATGATGCAGAATCAAGGTCTACCTGTTCCTCCACTGCAATATCGTACACTTAGGTGTCTGTCTGCAGAGGTTATCATGCGTTATAAAATACCCTATCACACTGAGGTCCCTACATCCCTATTTTCTTTCATTGAAATGCATGGATGACTTTAATTAAGTTCATTTGTGCAGAACAATAAGCAGAGGTAATGTCTTAAGAATGCTATATAAACCATTTTCATGTGATCCACAACAAAAAAAACTGCAGTTTGCTGTAAGTAGTTATCAAGGAGAGTAGTTCCCAGGTATAATTTGCACAGATGGAGTTGCAAGACATTCTCTAGATTGTAGTGTCATAATTATATTATATGTGTACATGTGGAAAAAAGTGCTTTAAATGTATTCCTAGTTCTTGTACTAAACCATAGTATTGACAATTTAAATCATGTTTGCATAATCTTCCATATATTCATTTGAACGTTACACGGAATGATTACCTCAACATGTATATCATAAATACACCTCTAAAACCTGGAACCATTTTGTGCATCTGGAACATTTCATAACAAGTTTTCATTTATCTTCCCAGTAATAAGATGCTGACCAATTTTGATCTCTAAAGGTTCTTTAAATAACATGCCCAACACAGAAAAAAATACCAGATGCTAATTCTTCAGAATAGTTGAAGTGTCTGATCATGAAATGATTAATATTCTTGGTGGTTGGGTAGTGCAATTTTAACACTTTTTCTTTTCACTGAAGCATCTGGGGTTCGATTCCCAGAGCAGATGTAAAAAGGTATGAGGTGATCTGCCAGATTGTTTGGGATATCTGGACTCCTTCCACATCATGACCCTTTCCACGAGGGCCAGCAACAATATAATTTGGAATAACTTGTTTTGCAGTTGTTGTAAAATAAGTAATGGTTAATATATTCTGGATTGATTCCAGACTGGAGAAATTATGCATATGGTATGAAATATATACTCACTCTGTTTGTTACAGTTAAATTATTTAACAAAATTAAACTGAAATTTCGAAAGTTGAAAGAGTTGAAGTGTTGTGCCTATAGTTGATCAGAATTTAAACATCATATTTTCATTGCAGAAATACTGAAGCTATTGGCAATATATTGGGTATGCATGTTTCAATAGTACTGAAAAATGCTATTTGAGGGCTATGTTGAGTTTAAATGATGCGTTTGTAAACATCAACAATGTTAAGATGAGACTAATGTATTCATAACATATAGAAAAAATGGATGTAATCTAGAGGCATCAGTGATTGACTAATATACTTATCCACAGAAAGTGATATTTGATGTACCCATCATATTAGAGCTAATAAATTATTTCAAAATTTGTATAATCTTTTCTTATGCGTGTTTAACTTTTAGTCCAATGAATGAAGAAATTTACATAATTTGAATGAAAGGATGTAGATTGAAAATAACAGATCCTTGCAAAAATTCAGAGGGCTGACAGATGTGCAATATGGTAAATTTTGTATTTCTGTATCCAGCAGTAGACCTAGGTATTTCTATTTGCCAATCCTAATACTGGTATATCAAAGCTTTCATAGACATGCAAACCAAATATAAATAATACTTGTATATCATTTCTGTCCAACATCAAGCCCATCTCCCTACTTGATGTAGGAGAAATGAAGAAGCAACACATTAAAATAGGTTTTGCATTACCTAACAGATCTGACCAGAAGAGTAGGGTTCACATCTATAGCAATAAGATTTATTATTCTTCTCCAAAATAATGGATCCTGTACATAACACCCTAGCTCAATATTTGCAAGTACATTGTACCCACAAAGTTCTCCACATCAAACCTGTTTATATGCTAAAAGTATCATCTATATTTATTTTCAATTTTTAAAATCTAAAATTGTATGTGTAATCTAAATTTCAGCTTTTGTCCTGATTAATGATAAGGTTAATAAAGTTGCGAAAGCTCTTACAGTTTCTGAAGAAAGTTTTGGCAAATTACAATTCATATGAATGTGAAATAATTTGCCAGGAATGCACAGCAAGTGAACCTTACCCAAAGTAAGAGGTCACAGCGACTTGTAGTGTAAGAAATAGAGCATGAACAAATGTTTTCATCAATGATCAAAGATGAAAACATAGAGCAGACTGACCTACTTCTTATATCCGATACTGCCTAACTGTGGTGAACCCATACCCAAATATGAAGTTTCAGTGACAAGTAGCATAGGAGAGATAGCATGAACAAATTTTTCTTTGATGTAGGTCAAAGGTGAAAATCTTGGTCAGAATGACCTACCTTTGATACACGACATACTGGGGGTACCGACTCATCAAGGTGAAGCCATACCTCAAGTAAGAATTCCCAGTGATTTGTAGTGAAGGAGATACAGAAGGGACAAAATAATGGAAGGCAGGACAGATTGATGTTAGGATGAAAGGACAGACAGCCACAGCACTATGAGATCTCGGAGAGATCTTGGTGCTCACCTCTATTCGATTTTTATTTCTCTTCTCCTCTTTCCTGTTTTTGCTTTCATGATAGTGATCATATTTGACTGCTAAATTAAAGATGGTAGTCTCTCTGCCATTTTGATTTTCTCATCAGTACCAAAATCATAAGTGCACAACTAGAGACCCAAGAGGCCCATGAAATTTGAGGAAGATTCATCCAGTTCTTAAGAAATAAAAAAAAAAATTGTTTATGGATGGATGCTAGACATTGAATAGCCCACTTTCAGTGCTGAAAAAACTTTTAATACTCCTAGTTTTTTAGTTCAAGTCTTTAACAACCTAGTCACACTTTTGTTCCTTTGTTACTGTGGGGTAAAAATTAAGCATTTATATTGGACCCCTGCATTGATGCAGGTAAATTTAGTCCAGTTACCTTTGTGAACCTTTTTTCAAAATCAATTAATATATCATAAAGGACAGAAGACATCTTTTTCTTAACATTTATTGATTTATACATTAATTTAAACATGAATCAGAAGAATTTTTTTCAGATAAACATTATAAGTGCTCTTTTTTTCTATGACACACTAAATAACCTTTATCTTTAGTAGTTATGTAGTACTCTGGGCTTACAGATTTGTCAGCGATGAATATTATACTTCATAACTGCCAAGCACTTGCTTCAATCAACATCTGTACATCTCATGATAATTAAGTACATTCTTATCACTGAACGTACCCATCACTCACACTAAATCAGTACAGTGCATTTCTCTCTAACCATCGAACCTTGAATGGTCAATAAAGCGTCCCTCATTCACTAGCTGTGAAATATGCGGATTACATACCAAGAGCTCACCTCCTCATATGCTATTTTTATCAGTGTTCTTGTAAGTAGAATTAAAATATGAAACAGGCTTTTACTAGTATTAAAATATATCAATCAGTTAAGGTTTATTTACATTTGTATACATATATGTGAACTAAAACAATTATTTTATAGGAAGAAAAAGAACCAATCCGAATGAAATTAAATTTGAATCTGGTTTTAATCTCAAGCTATCCATTTACAAGCATTAATACTGAGTTGATGGTAGAAGCACTGGAGAGACTGACACCGATTCACACTCATAGTATATGAGTCTCTCAGCTCTATGACAGCCATATCAATCTCCATAAATATGAAGAGGTTACACATAGCTTGTGACAGATCACTGATAAAATCTGATTTGGTATCGACACACAACATGTTTCACTTACACACAAACAGCATAGGCTAATATCACAGAAAATGTATCATTGATAATATTCACAAACAACTGGACTGATGGCTAAGCAGAGATCAAGTCTCCGGTAACACACACTGAAGGACTCTTAACATAATGTCACATACAAAGATGTTTCTTTTTTCTCTGTAACTAACAAGAGGTGCTCAGCATGGAACAGGAAAGTTTTACTTTCATTATTCTTGTATTGCTAAATTTTATCATCAAAAAATATCTAAAGCTTTTCTGTAAACTCTAAAATTCTTCACATCTACTTAAGTATTTGTATTTCTAGCACTGTTCTTAATATCTTATTCACAATCTCTTATTCCAAAATGTACCATTGGTTAAATCATAGGGGTTCTATTCCTTACACTGTTCTTGTTGATTGACAGAACATTATTCCAAACACTGTCCTCAACTTTCTTTCATGTATTATATAAGAACAGTCTTTATTTGGAGCTTCTATATTCCTATCCACTCGATTAGTAGTTATTCGCCAATGTTCTGATATGAACAGATTTTCTGTCGGTTATTAAGATTTTTTCAATAGAGAAGTTTTCTGTTCTACCTCTTCAATCAATATTAATATAAATATCATTTCTTTACACAAGTGGCAATCCTTTAATTAAGGTATTAAAAAGTAACATGGATGACAGAAGAATGATTTTAGATGTCTATATTTGGATATTCTTATATACCAATGTGCACACCTATATGACAGTATGTTGTGACCCAAGAATAACATATCACAATACATTTAAACACGGACATGGAAGTGGTAAGCACACACCAGCACATATTTGGCATGTGATTTGAATCCCTCTCTCACACAATATAGGAACTACACAATGCCTTAGCATCAATGAAAACATCTTTCTTGTTTTGTTTATTGAAAAAAAAAGAAAGAAAATAAAACCAGTAGAATTACTAGTACATAATGCAGCAACTTTTGTTGCTATTGTAAGCAATAAATATAGCCTCAACAATAACTATGTAATTATAATTATCCAACTTCATCAGACACTGTTAAAATGAAGATATTCTGAATAAAGAAGCAATCTGTATCATTTTCATTTCTCTCCCATTTCAGAGAGCCAGAGCCTCAGTGGGGTGGAGGTTCACGATCAGAAGCTTGAGATGTTGGTAATTGTTTATACATATTCTTTTTTGCTGCGGCCGGATTCACACGGCCATCTCTGTCTCTACCCCCTGATCCTGGTCTCCCAGGAAGGGGATGTAGGTTTCCTGCGCCTATCCCAGCCCCTGCCAAAGCCTGAACAGCATTTGAGCCTGGAAGTGAATTATTGTAAACTTGACTCCCACTGGACATGGATCCATGATTTTGTCGAAGAGTAACACCCTGAAACGCGTGCCCCTGATTTTGTCGAGGATGAGTAACCACCATGCTCCCACCTCCTGCATGCTGTTTCTGTGATGGCAGTAGCTGGCTGCCTCTCTCTGGTAACACACACTTGGCAATTGCAGCAGTACCTGGATCCTTACTCAGGCTATTTGTGTTTTGTTGTTGATTTGAAGGACTCGCACCACCTGTGATATTATGTTGATCACCTTCGTTTGATGCGGCCGTTGGCAATTTGTTACTTGATCTGACTGAATCATTTGAACTACCACCACCTATTAATTCATCCAAGTCCTGTTCTAAGTGTAACTGTTCTGTCAATGTGGATAATAACAGTTCCTGCACAAATGCACCACGATCCTCCCGCTCCTCAAATATACTCTGTTCTGACTCTGTCACCGAGGAGTCGAGGCATCTAAAACAAAACAAAAATAAGGTAAACAAGTGATTCGTGGAATTTTTATCCCTCATTTTAAAATGTTTATTTGTATGGAAGCTAAGTTTGTCTAAATGTTGGTATAATACATCTGTCAACCAAATTTCCTTGAAATCCATTGACATTGAGCTGCACATGGCAACCAATTGGCCTATCAGAAATGAAGACCCTCATGAATTTTGCATAAATAACAAATGACATCAGCAGTCAAATTCAGACTGTAAAACAGTAAGAAATACACATCTGCAAATCAAATTTTATCAAAAACTATTCACATCAATTGAAGTTATGGCATGGAAATTGATTGGCCAGTCAGAAGTGAAGTTCCTCAGAAATTATATATAAATGTTGATAATGGTGTCAGTCGTCAAACTCAGACTGAAGGATTGTATCTAAGTGTTGATGAAAGGTGTCAGTCGTCAAACTCAGACTGAAGGATTGTATCTAAATGTTGATGAAAGGTGTCAGTCGTCAAACTCAGACTGAAGGATTGTATCTAAGTGTTGATGAAAGGTGTCAGTCGTCAAACTCAGACTGAAGGATTGTATCTAAGTGTTGATGAAAGGTGTCAGTAGTCAAACTCAGACTGAAGGATTGTATCTAAATGTTGATGAAAGGTGTCAGTAGTCAAACTCAGACTGAAGGATTGTATCTAAATGTTGATGAAAGGTGTCAGTAGTCAAACTCAGACTGAAGGATTGTATCTAAGTGTTGATGAAAGGTGTCAGTAGTCAAACTCAGACTGAAGGATTGTATCTAAATGTTGATGAAAGGTGTCAGTAGTCAAACTCAGACTGAAGGATTGTATCTAAGTGTTGATGAAAGGTGTCAGTAGTCAAACTCTGACTGTTTGATAGTAAGATACATCTGCAAATCAAATTTGTACTCCATATTCAGTGAAGTTAGTGGTATGGATTGACCAACACGGTTTACACCCCCAATTTAATTTCCTGCATTTTTTCAAAAAGTAGTGAATAACAAATAAGGCAGCTAAATGGATGTGTTGGCTCCAGTACTGTCTTCCAGAAATCACTGTCAAATTAAAACCATTGTCATATCTTTTAATGATCTGTTCAATCAACCATAGAAATTCTATGACATGCAATAGTGACCTTGGGTATTTCACACTAACTGCTTCATGTAGGTGATTCAGTTCTCAATTTTTTTTTTTAGTAAATGTAATATGAAAAATTCTTTGTTTGGTCTGTGAGGATGTTTTATATATTTTTTTTTTAAATACCAATATTAGTATGACAGGTCTGTGCTGATGGTGGTTTGGATTATTATCTTGATATTTCTTTGTGATCTTACCTGGCTAATAAGTATGGCGAGTCTGTGTTGATATTAGTTTGGTTGGTACTGCCCCCTTGACTCTGCGGGTCTGTACTGATGCCAGTAGTTGAAGAATTTGTAATGTTGGATTTTCCTGATTCCACGGTACGTCTGTTCGGCAAACGCTCAAGTTGTTGTCTGAAATTGTTTGATGTTATGGACTTAATCTCATGCAAATGTGAAAAAATATTTCCAAATTTTAATATGATCACACAGTGTTTAAACCAATCACATTTCACAAGACATGGGAATATTGGAAGTCTTATACAAATGCATGACAAATCCGAATGAATAAGTGCAGCCTTTCACCTAGCTGTCCGGGATTCGACTCCTGAAATGGATGTGAAATGGTAAGGGTCACCTGCCTGACCATGTGGGTTTCCCCAGGGTACTCCGTTTTCCTCCCACATTAAGACCCTTCGCGCGTTTACATCCAACAAGAGCGATAAGTATAAGTTGAAATAACTTGTTTCGCAGTTGTTGTTAAATAAATAAAGTTTACAGATTTTTGAAGTGCAGTAAAACAGAAGTGTTGAACTGAAAAATTTCAGCCAATCATCATTCAGAGAAAAGTGTTATGACAAGTTGATGATGAAAATCAAAATTAAAAGAATAGAATCAAGAAGTCAATATGTTCAAACTTACCTGGTTGACTGTAACTGCATTTCTAGTTGCTGTAACTGTGAGGACACACTCTGGGCCGCAGCCGCACGACTCCTAACACTTGACAGCTGAGACAAAAGTTCTGCAATTGGGTCCATAGTTTCCCGTCCTCCTGGAGAGAGCCCAGTCAATGAAGTTCCCCCCGAAGAAAAATGCATATTTGCTCTCCTAGATCTGTTTCCTCCCACACCACGGCCAGGATGAGGAATTCTCCGTACATGTCGAATACCAACAGGCTCATCGTGCACAGTTGTTAAGGACAATAGTGTATTTGATTTACACAAGATTAAGGGTATTTAAGTAGATAAAGTTAAATGTACAGTAATATCAATATATTGCCTATAGCTTTAAGCGTTATACAATGTAAGAAACAAAATTTACGATAAACTGAATCAAAATCCTTCATGATAATATGATCGGACTTGCGTAATTTTAACCCAAAATTATCATCAAGCCATTGTAGGTTTTGTTTTTTCTTAGTCAATGCAGGCCAGTTTTCTTATCTCTAGTCTTCATTTCATCTTATGTTAAAACCACTAGCAATTCATAGTTTTAAAAGTTCAATGAAACTGTCAAGACGTGTGATCTGGCTCTACCCTGGTACAGCTATATATCCTGGCTCTTCCTAGGTATAGCTATATATCCTGGTTCTACCTATGTATAGCTATACTATCCTGGCTCTACCTAGGTATAGCTATACTATTCTGACTCTACCTAGGTATAGCTATACTATCATGGCTCTACCTAGGTAAAGCTATATATCATGGCTCTACCTAGATATAGCTATACTATCTTGGCTCTACCCAGGTATAGCTATATATCATGGCTTTACCTAGGTAAAGCTATATATCCTGGCTCTACTTAGGTATAGCTATATATCCTGGCCCTACCTAGATATAGCTATACTATCTTGGCTCTACCCAGGTATAGCTATACTAACCTGGCTCTACCTAGGTATAGCTATATATCCTGACTCTACCTACATATGGATATATATCTTGGCTCTACCTAGGTATAGCTATACTATCCTAGCTCTTCCTAAGTATAATTATACTAACCTGGCTCTATCTAAGTATAGCTATATATCCAGGCTCTACTTAGGTATAGCTATATATCCGGGTACTACCTATGTATAGCTCTATATCCTGGCTCTACCTAGGTATAGCTATATATCCTGACTCTACCTACATAGGGATATATATCTTGGCTCTACCTAGGTATAGCTATACTATCCTAGCTCTTCCTAAGTATAATTATACTAACCTGGCTCTACCTATGTATAGCTATATATCCTGGCTTTACCTAGGTATAGCTATACTATCCTGGCTCTACCTATGAACAGCTATGTATCCCGGCTCTACCTAGTTATAGCTATATATCCTGGCTCTACCTAGATATAGCTATACTATCTTGGCTCTTCCCAGGTATAGCTATACTAACCTGGCTCTACCTATGTATAGCTATATATCCTGGCTTTACCTATGAACAGCTATGTATCCTGGCTCTACCTAGTTATAGCTATATATCCTGGCTCTACCTATGTATAGCTATACTATCCTGGCTCTACCTAGGTATAGCTATACTATTCTGGCTCTACCTAGGTATAGCTATACTATCTTGGCTCTACCCAGGTATAGCTATATATCATGGCTTTACCTAGGTAAAGCTATATATCCTGGCTCTACTTAGGTATAGCTATATATCCTGGCTCTACCTAGATATAGCTATACTATCTTGGCTCTTCCCAGGTATAGCTATACTAACCTGGCTCTACCTTGGTATAGCTATATATCCTGACTCTACCTACATATGGATATATATCTTGGCTCTATCTAGGTATAGCTATGTATCCTGGTTCTACCTAGGTATAGCTATACTATCCTGGCACTACCAAGGTAGCTATACTTTCCTGGCTCTACCTACATATAGCTACATATCCTGGCTCTACCTAGATATAGGTATACTATCCTGACACTACCTAGGTATAGCTATACAATCCTGGCTCTACCTACATATAGCTATATATCCTGGCTCTACCTAAGTATAGCTATATATCCAGGCTCTACCTAGGTATAGCTATACTAACCTGGCTCTACCTAGGTAAGCTATACTATCCTGGCTTTACCTACATATAGCTATATATCCTGGCTCTATCTACATACAGCCATATATCCTGACTCTACCTAGGTATAACTATACTATCCTGGCTCTAGCTAGGTATAGCTATACTATCCTGGCTCTACCTAAATATAGCTATATATCCTGGCTCTACCTAGGTATACCTATATATCCTGGCTCTACCTAGGTATAGCTATAATATCCTGACTCTACCTAGGTGTAGCAATACTATCCTGGCTCTACCTACGTACAGCTATGTATCCTGGCTCTACCTAGGTATAGCTATACTATCCTGACTCTACCTAGGTATAACTATACCATCCTGGCTCTACCTAGGTATAGCTATATATCCTGGCTCTACCTAGGTATAGCTATACTATCCTGGCTCTACCTACGTATAGCTATATATCCTGGCAATACCTATGTATAGCTATATATCCATGCTCTACCTAGGTATACCTATACTTACCTGGCTCTACCTACATATAGCTATATATACTGGTTCTATCTACATATAGCTATATATCCAGGCTCTACCTATGTATAGCCATATATCCAGGCTCTACCTAGGTATAGCTATACTATCCTGGCTCTTCCTACCAACAGTTATGTATCCTGGCTCACCTAGGTATATCTATACTATCCTGGGTCTACCTAGGTATAGCTATACTGTCCTTGCTCTATCTAGGTATAGCTATGTATCCTGGTTCTACCTCGGTATAGATACAATATCCTGGCTCTAACTAGGTAAAGCTATACTATCCTGGCACTACCTTGGCTCTACCTACATATAGCTATACCATCCTGGCTCTACCTTGGTATAGCTATACCATCCTGGCTCTACCTAGGTATAGATATATTACCCTGGCTCTACCTAGGTATAGCTATACTATCCTGGCTATACCTACATCTAGCCATACTATCCTGGCTCTACCTAGGTATAGCTATACTATCCTGGCTCTATCTACATATAACTATATATCCTGGCTCTACCTAGGTATAACTATACTATTCTGGCTCTACCTAGGTATAGCTATACTATCCTGGCTATACCTACATCTAGCCATACTATCCTGGCTCTACCTAGGTATAGCTATACTATCCTGGCACTACCTAGGTTTAGCTATACTAGCCTGGCTCTACCTACATATAGCTATATATTCTGGAAATACCTATGAATAGCTATATATCCAGGCTCTACATAGGTATAGCTATATATCCTAGCTCTACCTAGGTATAGCTATACTAACCTGGCTCTACCTAGGTAAGCTATACTATCCTGGCTCTACCTACATATAGCTATATCTCTTGGCTCTATCTACATATAGCTATATATCCAGACTCTACCTAGGTATAGCAATATATCCTGGCTCTACCTAGGTATAACTATACTATCCTGGATCTACCTACGAACAGCTATGTATCCTGGCTCTACCTAGGTATAGCTATACTATCCTGGCTCTACCTAGGTGTAGCAATACTATCCTGGCTCTGCCTACGTACAGCTATGTATCCTGGCTCTACCTAGGTATAGGTATACTATCCTGGCTCTACCTACATCTAGCTATACTATCCTGGCTCTACCTAGGTATAGCTATACTATCCTGGCTCTACCTAGGTTTAGCTATACTAACCTGGCTCTACCTAGATAAGCTATACAATCCTGGCTCTACCTACGTATAGCTATATATCCTGGTTCTATCTACATATAGCTATATATCCAGACTCTAACTAGGTATAGCTATATATCCTGGCTCTACTTAGGTATAGCTATACTTGCTCTTCCTCAGTATAGCTTTTTATCCTGGTTCAAACTTGGTTAAGCTACGCTATCCTGGATCTGCCGATTTATATCTATACTATCCTGGCTCTGTCTATTACATTATTATACTACCCTGGCTCAACCTATGTTTAGCTATACAATACTGGATCTGCCTAGGTATAGCTATATTATCTTGACTCTACATAGGTATAGCTATGTATCCTGGCTCTACCAAGGTATAGCAATATATCCTGGCTCTACCTAGGTATAGCTTTACTAACCTGGCTCTACCTAGGTATAGCTATACTGTCCTGGCTCTACCTAGGTATAGCTATACTATCCTGGCTCTACCTAGGTATAGCTGTACTACCCTGGCTCTACCTATTTATATCATTATACTACCCTGGCTCTACCAAGGTATAGCTATGATATTCATTTTCCTGAAGACGAGATGTATTTCATAATGGTTCTTCTAGTCAAGGTACTGATTTCACACTGCTTTCTGTGAATGCCATCAAAAGGGCATAACCTTGTATCTATATCATAAGTTTTAGGATGTTTTCTGGCTTTCAAAGTCAAAATGATAAATTTCAGCAAAAGGATATAAATTCTCTTGGGATTCTGTGTTGTAAGGTCAAATGTTCTGCAAAGTCATCAGTGACATAGTTTGGATCTCCTCCAGGCAGAGCAGCACATATTGGACACACCTATATTGGAAGATAGAGCAAAATAAAATACATATATAACGCATATATTGCTTATATCATATTCAAAATATTGATACCTGAAATGAGTCAGTCATCAATTTAAGAAGACAGATACATTAAGAAAAAAATATTATTAAAGACATTTACTGTGGTTGGGTATACATTATTTTTTAAAAGAAATTACTTTCAAATCTAGCATGACAACTGGCAACTTAAAAATAGTAGTTTGAAAATGTATGTTGCAGTATCAAGTCCACTTTGTCATACTAACAACTTCAGTGGAAGTGTCGGAGTGATCAGAGGTAACATGCTCCTGCAGTGTTGCTTCGGTGTATCCCATTTTACCACAGTACGGGCAAGTGAAAGCCTGTGTTTGTTCTGCCGTCAGAGCCTCTCCTCCATAAAATAAATCTATAACAAAAGCAGAGAGTTAAGTCTAACATAACAACACAAAGCACTGGTAAACAATCACATTAAAATTGATCATGTGGCTACCTCAATAAACAATACATGAGAGGCCTGTAACATCGTGAACAGAAAGACTTGGGTAGAGTGTCTTGACCAAAGACACGACCATGTAGGGACAGACTGCTTTGTTTCTCAGCCTCTTGAGAAATTGCATGGGTAGGGAGCATCAACCCACAAACTAAAGATCTTCACTGAGGTTAAATATAATGCCCTGACCGACTGAGCTGTCATGGCCCTTCATAATGCGGAGAACAAGGTCATGTTATTTAATATTACAAAGAACATATACGCTGTTTGCATATGATGTAATGTAAGTTGGATCTGTTGATATACATCGCTGCCTTAGTGTTCACCATCATTTCTATATCCTGAGCAAAACAAAAGTAATTTATTCAAGATTGATTTAGTAATATGTCAGCAAAATGCATTTCTCAAATATCCCTATATCTTCAGTCTATACTTTTTATCATCATCAAAACTTTCTGTTATAGAACACTGAATGTCATCTAAACCATCTAGTATGTGGTGCCATTTTAATAGTCAACCCAAATTCAATTGCATAACATTGAGTGCTATCAATACTGTTAAGAAAAATAAATGTATAAATGAAAGAGTTAATAATAAATCTAGGGTTAAGCATAACCACAACATCAGTCTGAGATTGGACTTACTAACATTTTATAACTTCCTGGTCACCGATTGTAACTGTTACTAACTGTGAAACTATTGTCACACAAGAGACAAAATTTTATTGATGCAATGAGATTATATATAAAACATATTATCTGGATTTTTGATGCAGACTTTATGAAAAAAAACAAGGCCTTCTGTATTGTCTGGTATGTCACAGTTCTATATATGTATATAATTAACGATGTAACAATGCCCAGTTTTATTGTTGATATCAACATTATTAAAAATAGATTAAAAAAATCCTTATGCCTTGTATGCCAGTGTTTTCCACAAGATGGCAAGTATCAGTTGTTATAATCTATCATCAACAAGCACAAGAAGAGTGTAAATAATACAGACTGACCAAAGTCGTTTCTTGTCAGAATGCATTGCATGGAGTGGTCAGCAGTGTGCCGTGTGGTGGTAGCCCCCGCCTCATAACAGTTTGCGCAGAGATCATAGTCATAACAAACCAGGCACTTGTAACGTTTCCCTCGAAAGTTTCCTTTCAAACACGAATCACAGCTGACCCCTGTGAAATGAAAAATAGTAGTCAAGTTATACTTACAAAGCAATTCCAGTCGTGTAAAAATATGGATTGTAAAACAAATAGGAACAAAAAATTATTTTCTTTGACAAATAATCCTTGCATCTGAAAAAAGGTTCCTTACATATATTGCTTAACAATCTTTAAGCATGTGTGTATCATGAAAATAAATCACAAAGATAGAGTAATTAGGTACACCACAAACATGGAATAATTATATACACCACAAACATGGAGTAATTATGTCTTATTGTAGGACTTATACAGAATTTATATGAAGAACTAAACATTATATAATATTTTGACTTGAATACTTGATGAACTCAAAAATTGAATGCTAATCTATGGTAGGTTTTGCTCTAAATATATCTTAGTTGAGAAGATAACACAAGAGATAAATACATATTTCAAGAAAAGTCTGCAGTTCTATTTTCATTTTTGATAAGATGTTGTTGGTGATGAAAAAGGTCATTTCAATTGATGGTGATGAAAAAGGTCATTTCAGTTGATGGTGATGAAAAAGGTCATTTCATTGTACATTCCTTCAGAAAAAATTAAGTCCCAAACTTCAGAGAAGTACTTATTCTTGTGGCTTGAGCAAGTGTAAAGGAATCCTACATCTAATCATTTTGTTTGAACCTTTACATTACATTGGAGGTCAAATGAGAAAATAACAGGCAGAAACTCTTTTTCCCCAGTCTTAGGCTTCATCGTTTCCTTTGAGAGTCAACGAAAATATGTTTGATCCGACTTTGTAATGTATCATGCAACTTGCATTAGTTTACTACCAGATGGACAGTAAACCTTCGATCATTTCAAATAGGCAATAACTGGAACATGCAATCTTTTATAAAAACAATAATTTTCTGTCAAGTTTGAACCTTTTTACTTATTGCTTCACTTACAATTCAAGTTGTTCAAACACATCATGATACTGTACCTATGTCTGACTTTGGTGTCGTATACTCATATTAACAGTTGACACTGCAGGTCATACATAACCATCATCATTGTAAGCAATTGTTTTTGCCAAATTATACCATTACATGTCACTTAATTAGCTTTGATTCAGTGTGATTTCTTTCATGTCTTGGTCATGCCAGCTTTCACTTGAGGCCCAAAATCTACATTACAAGATCAGTATATGGAGCAAAGAATATTGGTGTGTGTACATATTTGTCAAAGAGCAACAGTGTTTCACTATAAATTTTGATAATCAAGGTATTTATTACCTCAAACAATTCATTCAAACTCACTGATATGCTTTGTAAAGATGAGAGTTTTCATTAGCACTGATCAGTAGCCATAAACCTGAGTCCAAGCTCTGCATACTTATACATATGTAGGTCAATGCTAAGTTCCATCCATACAAAAGCAGACATATACATTTTAAGGCCTAGCATGATTTCTTTGTCCTTATATCCCATGTGATTAAGAACAACTGATTAATATTTATATTTTAAAAAGAAAATCATATTATAACCAACATATTCCATTCCAAACAAACCATTGTCTTTACTAATCAGTAGTTTCCTGCCTTGCTAGCACATTTTATGCATTTCATTGTTATTTTGGATATTGTGAGCATTGAATTATTGTCACAAGCATACTTTTCAAATAATTCAAATGGTTAAATAAAACTGATTAAATTTTGTTCAGAAAGCCTGTACAAAACAACATTTAGGATTGTGAATTAAGAAGAAATTGCTTTCACAATTATGAAAATAAATTTGTTCATAATGAAGGTAGCACAGGCCCAGATTAGTCATCATATTCTTTTAAATCCAATATTCTCTTTTAATGGGGAAACTTGGTCACATTTTTCTAACCACGATCATGTCTTCGTTAATATTTTAATAATCTCAAAATTAAGATAAAGGGTGCAGTAATTTTTGTGGGCAGGTCAACCAGAACACTATTCCCATCTGCAAAGGTATATATATCACTGAATTCCAGTTCCAGAAGTTGACCCTTGAAATTCGAGTTTTAAAATCAATAAATAAATTCATTTAAAGGATCACAACAAAACTAGGCATTTACCTTCAAACTCAAGAGTCAAAACTTATTTTCAGACATCAACAACATACTCACAATGGTTCTATGTGCTAAACATTGCATCAAATGAGCTTAAACAATTAGATAATCCATAACATCTTATCATCATCCCATCACCACTTTTCACATTGCACTTCCTTGTAACAACCTTACTGAATCAATCTATCGGTACATATCCTTATTTTCAAGTATGTTATCAGGATTTATATCATATTTCTTATCTATAACATATTTTTGTTAAGCATTTTCAAAAATAAAACCACATTAAACAACACCAAAATTAACAATCCAACTAATATTCATAGAACAAATTTGCTGCTACTCTATCTACATATCCTTTTAAAAGGACAAGCTGTTTTCATTAAGAAACAGTTATATGATTTATATATTTCAAATGTAAATTTATTCCCAACACTAGTTACATTTTTTCACACAAGGATTTGAAAATATCTACTTATAGCTATCAGATTAAACAGAATAACTGTCATATGAATTATTATCTGCAAGACAAATATTTCAACTCTAAAAAGGTTAACCTTATTTGCACAGTTCTCACTTAATGGCTTTAGGCAAAACCAAGTTATATTTTTTTTGTAAGTAGATATAAATTGTAAGTGGAAATTTTTTAAGCTTGCCTAAATATGTTGGGACATTAATTGAAGCATACACAATATAATAACTTTTATCATCTAGAAAAATGAAGTTTTAGAACTCATCACCTCTTCTTACTGAACAGATTGTGGGGAAGTTGGAGTTACTCATTTAGAGCCTAGCGTTTATGCCGAGATCTTATTACATCACACATTACAATATTGTTATTGATGTCTACTGTAGGTTTCCCCATACTTTTGATTTCATTTAAAAAATCCGTCAGTAAATACAAATGTGAATATGATATACATTGAAATTTCATGTAAACTGACATTAAGGAATGCATTGCATTACGATTTCAATAACCACGCACCACACGAGACGTTTTACGGAAGAAACTGATAGTTCGATCGGAGGCCATTTTGGATTGATAGCACCCAAAACTTACCTTCATGACGCGACATATCAGCGACTGCGTTTCAATATGATATTGAAACGTGATTATGAGGCTTGATGTTGATATATAATTATTGTTTTGACCAACAAAACTCTCGAAAAACGTAATTTGTCGCTACTCCGTTACTCCGTTCCAAGGTTACATTCTTGGCAAGTAGGGTCCATGATGACGTCACGCAATTTCTCGATTCACAATTTCAGCGAACGTGATTTTCGTATTAGTTTATCAATTGTAGGTATTGCCTTAATTTTTCAATAATGTTTATAAGAAATCGTGAATGATATGAGAAACTTTCATAAAGGCGTTTTAAACACAAAATTAATATATGTCATTTTTCTTACATCTCAAAAATGTTTAGAATAATATATCACTCCGGTTCTTGTTCAAGCTTCCTACAGACAGCGAGGTCATCATTTTTTTTTTACTTCAACGTCAAGCATGGCAACTTCAGCAGGACAAATTGTGATCTACGGAGGGAAAGGTGCACTCGGCTCGGCATGCGTTTCGTTTTTCAAAGGCAAGGGATATGTAAGTGGCCATGCAAAAACTTGAGACAAAGATCTGTGCGTGAATGCATGCTGGATTTTTTAGTTCACCTGGAACGGCAGTTCGGAGGTCATGGATGGACATGGTCGAGCGTAAAGTAACATAATAAGCATTTGCTTGCAAATTGCAATCTCGAAAATCATGTGATCACTGCAGATGACCATGACAATTTTTGTTGGGTAATGGGTTGGTTTACGTATTTTACGCCGCTTTTACAAATGTTCATAAGTGTGCAGCTAACGCAATCTACCTTGATCCTCAAAGTTCTTAATTAATGTTTTCACAGTCACAGATAAGGTTAATTTAGAGTTTAGGGAATTTTACCCATTGATGAAAAACGTAATTTTTTGGTCTGCTGTGAGAAATGGACAGCCTTTTTGGTCATAATTAAAATGAGGGATGGGGTAGAAATACATGACATACAAGAATATTACATGATTAAAATATATGACAATTTTGAAGTTAGTTAGGTATTGTGACACCATAGTGATCTGGACCCAATCTCAGATCTATTCAACAAGGTAGCATGTAGGCTGTCACAATATATGTAGAGCTAAACCCGATAAATAGATAAATAATAACGTAAATAATAAAGTTATCAGGATTTTATGTTCATTCCATCTGCATTTAGGACTAAGTGATGTTCCTCTCCATAGCTTCCACACACTCCAGTTAAATTGGTATATTTCTTGATAATCTGTTATCCCTTTTAATTCAAACTGATCATGACATTACTTGGACCTGGGCTTGACCTTTTGTTGTCATCCAATTCAGTATAATCAAATAGCTAAGTAATCACTTTAACTTATGAAGAATGTTCCAATAGCATCAGACTATCCTATGGTTCTTTGAACAAGTCATGTTTCTAGATATGTATCTTAGTTGTACAGAAAACCAAAAGATTGTGATAAAGTTCAATATTTAATTAGACAACGAATCCCATATGTGAAGAAAAATAAGTTACATTAATAATTCTATCAGACTCACACAATCTTTCACACTTAATAGTTAATTTCTACAACTCCATATTTTTAAATAAGACGAACAATATCATTACTATTATATTAGCTTTCCTGGCATAAAATGAACACATTAATCAGAAGGCCTAAAGCTTACATTAAAATAGACAAAATCTTAATATATTAGTTAGGAAAATACACATCCACTCTAGGTCTGGTTTCTACACACTTCCAGAACATTTACATCTTTAGATGAAATAAGGAAAAACTAACATTCATGTATTCCAGACTTCTTATTCTTACTAAGAAAAATGCACTTTCAGTACAAACGCATATTTACTAAGTTAAATTCAAGTATTCCATCATCATACTTAATTCTCAATATATCTTTCTCACTACTAAGCCAAGTACAAAATAGATCAATATATTCCTGTCAAGCACTTGATCAGGTAATCACAGACCGGGAATTAGAAATTACCCAGTGATAAAACTACCACCCATCTATCCCTATGACTATGGTTCTAGTTTGTTTACTATAACTATTATTGTAAAATATTAAATAATTAGAAAAATCAAAAGATCCTAAATAATAAATTCCTATCAGTAATACCATCAGATGGTGGGCTATTAAAATCGCCTTACGTCTGTGGTCAGTCCGTCCATAAACAATTTTTGTTATTGCTCTTTCTTGAGAAGTACAGGATGGATCTTTTTCAAATTTCATTTGTAGGTTCCCCTTGTTTCCTTGGTCTTAAGTTGTGCCTGTTTGATTTTGGGACTGATCAGAAAAAACAAAATGGCTGATAGGTGGTCGTCTTGGATTTTTTCAATGAAGTTTGTTATAGCTATTTATTGAGAAGTACAAGATCAATCTTTTTCGGATTTCATATGTAGGTTCCCCTTGATCCTTAGTTGTGTCCATTTGATTTTGGGTTTGATCAGAAAAACCAAAATGGCAAACAGGTGGCCATCTTGGATCTTAACATTGCAAGATTGTTATCACTGTTTCTTGAGAAATATTGAATTAATCTTTCTCAAATTTCCGATGTAGGATCCCCTTTGTCCCTAGTTGTGCCAGAAAAACAAAATGGCTTCCAAGCGACCATCTTGGATTTGGCAGGTAAAGATTGTCATGGTTGTTTCCACAAAAGAATGTTCAAATTTGCTATCATTAAGAGCAAAAACAGAGAAGAAAAGAAGTGAAAAGATCCAACTTTCAAAGAATAAATAAAGATCAAACAATGGTGGGCACCAAGATCCCTCACGGATCTCTTGTTTATCTTTATGAAGATTCATATAAACTGGGTAGGCTATGTTAGAATGGCATTAAAATGACACAAATGTAGTTATGCTTTCCCAGTAGAATTTTCTGTTAGACATTTTCTTTTTCATATTATTATTTAAGCCTAAACTATTTGTGATTTTTGGTACATTATTAGTAATTTCTTTGTTATTTTGTTTTTTGTTTTGTTTTCTTCACTAGTTCAAAAGAAGCAATGAAAATGAAGTTTCTTTTCACCACAAATTGTTAGGTAAAGGGTGTTGTAGGATCGCTGATAACAATCACAGCATTGTTGGTTAGAGGTTTTGATCAGATCACTGGTGTTTATATAACAGAATGGTTGGTTGGCATGAATGCTGACTATCATCATTAGTAAAAAAATCTGATCAAAATTTTTCTGATTTTACAGTGGATTTGTTCCATTGATCTTGCACCAAATGAAATGGCTGATGCCAATATCTTAGTAAAGACAGACGTTTCCTGGACTGATCAGGAGACACAAGTGTTGGGGGAGATGGAGAGACTGATGGGTGGTAACAAGTTGGACGCAGTATTCTGTGTGGCAGGTGGCTGGGCTGGTGGTAATGCTGCTGACAAAGGTGAGGGGACCAACTGTTTGGTTCTTTTTATCTTGCCAGTACTGACCTTAATATTTGAGTGTCCCTTCTCAACATTTTCAATCACTGTAAGGAAGCATTGTGATCATTGTGATCACTCAGATATACATATACATGTATATTTAGATATTTTCAGAAGAAAATGATTTTAAAACTGTTTATATACCTTCCTATCTGATATTTTTCAAACATGTTACATTACAGAAAACAAGCATTTTGATGGTGTTTGATATGGTAGCAAACACCCTATAGAGATATATACAAATTGTACACGTCTAAATCTGGCATAGATACTTGGACAGTATGTGATTGATGAAAGGTGAATACTTACAACATTCAGAACTCTGATATTGTAATTAGCATTTTTAAATGTTGGTATTCTGTATGGCATATGTTGATGTTTCAGCCTTTGTAAAAAATGCTGACATGATGTGGAAACAAAGTGTGTGGACCTCCTCTATATCAGCAAGCATTGCTTCCAAACATTTGAAGGAAGGCGGAGTTTTGACCCTGCCCGGGGCCATGCCTGCACTGAAAGGCACACCAGGTAAGATCGGACACACTCTACAGTGTTGTTATAAATTATTTCAGCTCACCCTGGGAGAGATTAGGATCAGACTGTCATAAGACTGTAGGAGTTATCTCCCTTATCACATCTTACAGAAAGCCTTTTTTTTTTGCAGTAATAGTGTGGAACAAGTTTAAAAATGAAAATGATTGGTTAATAGTGTGCAACTGGAAATAATTTCTATGTCTGTGTAATTTTCTTTTTAATTGAGCATAGTTTGCTAAAACATTTCAAATATGGATCAAGAAAGCTAATTGTATGATAACTGAAGTATCTTAACACAGAACGTAGTATTATACCTTGAGATATTCCAGTCACTCTTTGACCATCAGTCCAGTGCTATCTAGTGAAAAAATAGTAAAATATCTCCACATATCATTTTACATTCTTTGTAAAGATATTTCAGTTACTGTTGTATCTGCTCAGTCACTTTTACTGAAAATAAATTTCATTTCCATATTCCTTGTCATCCCTTCTGTCTGATTTTGATATTGTAATGAAAAATTAATGGTATGTTGACTTAGTCACAATTGAGATGTTCATGAATGGATCCAATATAAATTGGACACAGGTCAGTGGTTCAGTTTGTAATAACAGAATTTTGCCCTTGATGCCAGTTATTGTGACTAGGTTTTAAAAGAGATTTGAACACATTGCAATGGGATATATTATAAAGGATAATAATATGTGTCAAAGTGATAGACACCAAATAAATTGTATTGAAATGGCACAGCCATTTTTTTCATTCAAGCAACTATATTTCTTGGAGGCTTTCTCGATACCTGACAGGTATCCTTACACTGGATGAAATAGAACATGTAGTCAAAGTTCAAATCAGCTGATATAAAGATGGATTTTAAAGGAAATGACTTGTTTGACATCTTATTGTTATGTTTCTTCTCTGTTTTTCGCAAAACTTCACAGTCTTTTAGAATTACAAAGTATTGGTCTGAAGCCATCAATTACAATTCATTCAGGGATTAGAGTCGTGTCAGCTCTGAAAATTTGACTTAAATGATAATAGGTTTAATAGCAAAGTTCTTGAAGTTTCTAAAACATATAAAGATTTGTAAAGATTGATGTTAACTGATTATATGATTCAGCAATACTTGGTCATTTACAGGGATGATTGGATATGGTATGGCTAAAGCTGCTATTCATCAGCTGGTTAAAAGTCTAGCTAGTGATAAGAGTGGAATGCCTACAAACGCCTTGACTGTAGCCATTCTGCCGTAAGTATTCAGTACTAAACCAGTATGGGATACTCAGTATCTTGGTGTGCTTGTATTTTTTAAATTTTTTGTATTTGAATATATTGCATATTTTGAGATATCTTTGTCACATTTTCATCATGTTGATTATATTTTCAATTTGGAAGAATGAATTAGAAAGACATTTTGCCTTTCTTGAGGATAGATAACAGCATTTTCACTTGTGATCAATAATAAAAGATATCTGTCATGTTCATAAGCCCACCCAAATATAATTACAAATTCTTAATAACTTGTAATAAGTCTATCCCCTGACTTTGAGCTCTGGGTTCCCTGTTAATTACAGGATGATCATGATAAAGTGGGTTTTTTTTGTTACTGCAGTCTAAATACGTAAGATAATCCCAAAAGTTCATTTCAGTCTGTCAGATGATAAAGACATTATGATTTTTAGACATATTTCTGGAGTTGTTTTTGACATTTCAGTATGACACTGGACACACCAATGAACCGTAAATTCATGTCTGAAGCAGACTTTACTACTTGGACTCCATTGGAGTTTGTGGCAGAGTAAGTTTTTGCTTTAAATCGTTTTAATTCTGACTTAGAGAGGAATGATGTTTTATGTATCCAGGTCGCTAAGATCAGAATAACTAATGGTGTATCTTTAGAAGTAGTCGGTTCAATGTTAAGATGTTTTCAAAACCTTTCTCTACTAAAATGTGAAGTTGTTATCAGAAGGTGCAGTGGATGTAATATGTATTGTATTTAAAATCTGACTTCAGTGTTGTTGTCTAACATATGTTTGCCCCAATAGTAGTCAGTTCTAGTGTTTTGTTGACATTTGAGAACCTTTTCAGTTTGAACACTATCACCTAGTATAAGCTTCACATAATACTCTTACTTGTTATTGACTTTTATTGTGAGTAGAAGTCAGTGTAAAATTTCCCTGACATGCAAGCTTAGGAAAGAATAATTCTCTCTCTCTCTCTCTCTCTCTCTCTCTCTCTCTCTCTCTCTCTCTCTCTCTCATAGGTAAGACCTTTGTCATTGTCATGATTTGTCAATAACTTCTCCATACCCTATATTTTTTTACTTACCAAATTGTATGGTATATAAAAACAATAAGTTGATTTAAATACATTTTTTCAGACTTTTCTACAAATGGATGATTGGAAGTGACAGACCAGCCAATGGGAGTTTGATGAAACTTGTGACAAAAGACAGCATCACAGATGTGTCAGCAGCATAATAACTGACGGTACCTTAGTCTGATGAAGTAGTAATAACTTCCATGTATAGAGAAAATCTTCTGGGCCAAAGTTGTTGTTTGCAACCTATTCCCCTGCTCCCTGGTGTGTGTACTGTATATGTAAACATTTACATGTATTGCTTTATGTAAATATAATGCTGTTGCTTATGATTATGAGCATGTGGAAAAAAGAAAACCAGTTTTTTGAAAATCAATATCTTCAACTTTATATTATATGTATCATGTATACAGCAGGACAACAAATCAGGACAACTATTGCTCATTATGATCAATTGTTAATTTTTCTTCATCATGAATATCAACTGCTGAATATGGTTGTGTCTAAAGATGGTTGAGAACTGTCCATCCAAGTTGATGAATTGTCAAATATCAAATGTTTATTTCAGTCCATGCTGAATTGTCCTATGCTTGTGTGATCTAATACTGGAACCAGAGTGGTGTAAATGTAGACTGTGTGTAGGTGTTGTGGAAGGTTTAAGTATACCTAGATTTGTAGTTGTCATAAAACAGAATTGACACAACATTTTAAACTGTTTATACTATAGACCTTTTCACTAATTTCTCGCTCAGTGACTAGTTTTGTAGAGTTGAATTATTTCCACTGTTACAGTGGTGTGCCATTCATTCCCTTTTCTTCACACAAAACTAAGGTTAAAAAAGTAAAATAAATTCGATATTGAGTATAACATTGAATCTGTGGTAGAAATGATGCCTTATTAGCGTAGAAGTGTGTTGATTTTTAACTTTGTTTGTAGAGACTGGTGGTTAAAGGTTTAAGTAAATCTATGTGATGTCATCATTTATGTAGCTTTGTAATAACCCTTGACTAGAATAATTCACTGCCTGATTGCTCTCATACTTCTATACTCACAAGAAAAAGATATGTCTATGCCATGAATAATGCTTCTGAAGTAAAATTTAATGTGTACATATAAGTGCTACCCTTATTTTTAAGTGCTTCTGTTGTTTGATTTTCACATTATTGTGTTCATTTTTAATGAAGATGTCATGCATTTATATTAAAACACCAGCAAACCAGTTGAATTTAATACCTGGTTATGATAATGAATCTACCATCAGAGAAAGTCTGTCTTTACACAATTAGATTTACTGCCTGTTATGATAATGAGTCTATCAATAGGGCTGTAATTTTGTACTCCACCTTCTTTCTTTTAGATTAAATTAAATTAAATCCTGTCAGTGCTCCAGTAAAAGGAGTTACCAGTACTTGATATTATAAAAATTTATCTTCGGATGCCTTCAAGTGTCATTCATCAAAATATGTGTTCATTGGTGTGAACTATTTTTAAATGATGAACTCAATAATCATAGCTTTTTCAGCTGTCGTGCACAAATTGTGTATACTGTTGAATTTTTATTTTATCTTAAACAAGATAGGGCACATCATTCCCTTATTTTAATAATAGTGATAGTCATTATTATGAATTTGCCTTTTAAAGTGAAAACCAGGATATATAGTAATGTCCTTTGCTAGTACATCTAGTTCTACCTATCCCTGTTTTGTGTGTTACTAACCTCCATGTGGATGGCAGCTGAAATGTTAATATAGTCTACATGTATGTACTGTACATCTCTTCAAAATTGCGAATTCAAATCCCTTATGAATATTTGTAAGATTATTACTCTGGATGGCATACATTTCAGTTTAGTAACTGATACCTGAGCCTTGAAAAGTTAAGGTCATTTAAAGTTCATCATTTGCAATTTTTTAAAGTCATACCTAGGTCAGCATTAAAAAAATCCTTAATTTGTGAATATATTTGAAGAGGTCATTATTGAAATGAGGTATTCACAAAATTAAAGAAATGTACAGTACATCACAGTACATGTGTTTTATCTGACTATTAATCAATAAATGTATAGTCATATCCCTATGATAATGTTTGGCACACCAAAACACCTTCAAGTGTCAATATTATGCTTTCAGATATCACTTCAACATAGAAACTGTCATACATTTATTACATGAATAGACATTTGTTGTGATGAACCAGCCACAAAGATTTTTATCAATATCATTATTCTGAATTTAAACAGATACAGCTGACATGAGAAAATAATGAAAAGTTAAAGAAACGTTTATTTTCGGATTTTATATCTTCAGCCGTTCTTTTTTTTCTCTCTCTCTTTTTGTGATAGTATTATGTTTTAGACTAGTCAGTACCTATTGTGCCACATGGGTTTTGTATGTTATTTGCTGTAGAGGATATATCTCCCATTACAAAACTTGTAACATTTCAACTCTGCAAGTTTCTAGTCATTAGAACAACATCACATACAATAAGTATTAAAAGTCATAAATCCAGTGCAAGAACTAAAAGATATGATGTATACTCATTTATAATAATTTTATTTCAAATACAAACATGAATATTGCCAAAATGTGAACTTTTATATTTTACATAACTATACATATTGATAGGCTAGTTTTACTTTATTTTTGTTTGACAAAAACTATTGAAAAGTATTGAGATTATGGGAAAGATATCTTTTTGTTAAGAACTGCCCAGAATTATGTTCCATTAAATTTGAATCACAGAAGTGAAATTCGGTGTTCTTCTTAATGTCTGGTTGTCAATGATAAAGTTTGAATTTCAGACTTGACATTTTATGGAGAATGACTTGTAGTTTGTTGTAGCAATATACAATCCTGGTTGTTTTGTCATATAATTTATATAGACATGTATGTTATCAATACATTCCAAATAAAAGTGTTGTCAGAATTTGTGCGTTGTCTGATATTTAGCCCACTATCGATGTCCATCATCTGTCTTTCCTTGAAATATTTCTTGTTATTGCTGTAACTGGAGAAAAGTGTGTAGCTTCCCTTTGACCATTCGGTGTCCATTTTCGAACTAATTAAAAAACAATGTGGCTGACAAGCTGCCATACATGTAGTATTTGTTTGGCATTCCTCAAAACAACTCCTATGGAACCAAGTGGCTGTGAAGGAGGACTACATATTAATTTGTCCAAATGAATGATGTTGACCTATCTTCAAGGTCATTGGTCAAATGTATTAAAATCTTGAAATAACTTCTCAATAACTAAGAGAATTGTGTTACATGTACTGTGCCAGTGGTATGCTGCTATTGAGCAAATAATGTTTGATATCCAGGAGTGTGATAAATGTATCTCACTTATTCAGGACAAAGTAACTGAAATAACAGGAAAACTTCACAGATGCTTATGGACATGAATAAGATTTTTTTTTCTTACTTTATGTTGTATTTGATTAAATGTGGTAAGTTCAAATTGGAAATTTAGCATCTGCATGTACTAAAATGGTAATTCTCAATTAACTTGCCATATTTAATTTTTAAAATCACATTTATTTCCACAAACACTTGTTGAAAACTTAGGATTAAAAACGATTATCTACATGAAACATGTGACAGTGAATAAAAGGAAAATGAAAAAGAACAAATGCATGTACACTGCTGTATCAGCACTGCCAAATTAAACAGAAACATACAGACACCCTTGACAAAGTAACATGCACACGTTAAAACAATAGCTCTGACAACTATAAATGAACAGTGATCAAATGATTGTCAAATGTTTTACTATTCATTTGCTTCTAGTCTAAAACTGCAAGTTCAATCACATTCATATTTCATGCAGTTGTGAGATATCTTCATTCTGATGCAATTCATTCTACTGTTAAGAAACTGAAAGTCGTCTAAAGCTATTTTTAGATCCAAACACGAGAACACATCCGGGTCTCCGTCATGGCGGCGACCATAGGTTGTGAAATACTGGGACGTTTCATTTAAAGTTCGACTCGTGTCGCCATCTGCATGTACTCGATGTCATTTGGAAATATCGTTTTATTTTAACACAAGTAGTCTTAGTTAATGGAATAAAGCATGGACAGAAGACAGATATCGAAGCTGTTAGCTGCAGCTGTTCTCGGAGGTACGTACAAGCATCGTAGGCTACATAATGATTGTTCTGGGAGGAATGACTGTCGTGGGAATGTTTTCATTGACCAGCAGTTCATTACTTGGGGTTCCCGATGGTGAAGTCTTACATAATTTAACATATCCATAATAAATGGACGAAGTACACAGATTTGTTAAGAGTGTCACAAAATTAAGAAAATAGATGTATGATAGTGCAAAGAATATCCCCAGGTTTAAAGTGGATAAGTGGAGAATGATACAAACATTAAACATTAAAACTATATGATGAGTTTTTGACAATATGCTGTAATACTAAAATGGGAGAACTAGCTACCTATTACTCACGAGGCAGGCTTTATATGACTTCATTAAGGATTAATTCATACTAGTAGGGTGATGTGTATTTTCTTCTACACTACTCCCTCCTTCAAAAGTATTCCATAAATAACCTCATCTCAGGTTCTTAATCTACATGAAAACATCTAATTCTCTATAACTTCTAATGTAAAAGAATGACTAAATGTGTAGTGTAAATAGCAGTGTGCCATCAAATCATATGTATGTACCAAATGCACAAAGATAGTAAAGTCTCTCTGTATATCAGAAGTTACTGAGTATGCCAACCCCCTCCCCCCCCCCCCCCCCCCCCCCAAAAAAAAAAAAAAACCCTACCTATTCTCCACTTCTGATATGGAGCTATGGAATATCTAACATTGAAGAACTAGATTAATACCTTTTGCAATACACTTGCCTTTGATACAGGTTGTTCTGTTGTTCATTTCTAGGTGTTGGAATATGGGCAATTCTAAAGACTATCAAAACATTAAAAAACAATGTGAAGGTGTACCAGAGGAAAAAGGAGATTTTTGTTGTTCAAACTGAAGAAGAATGGGAACAGTTTTACGCCACCTTCATACAAAACAAGCAAATCAAGGTAGGTCCATGTCACCTTTATCCAAATAAGCTCATCAACAAGAGTCCATGCCACTTTCATTAAATGTCAGAACACCAAGGTAGGATTGTGTCACCTTCATATGAAATCAGCTTATCCACAACAGCCCACGCCACTTCCATACAAAGTCAGAACATTAATTCAATGTAGGACTGTGTCACCTTCACACACGAAATCAGCTTATCCACAACAGCCCCACACCACCTTCATACATAGTCAGAACACCAAGATAGACTCATACCACCTTCATACAAAATGAGTACACCAATAATGGCCCATGCCACCTTCATACAAAATGAGTACACCAATAATGGCCCATGCCATACAAAGTCAGGACATCAACAATGGTTCATGTCATCTGTAAGTAAATTTGCTCATCAACAAAGGCTATTGTAACCTTCATTCATAGTCAGCACATTCTCATAGTTTTCACATCATGGTAGACCTTTATCGCCTTCATACAAAAAGTCAACACATCTAGGTAGACTTATGTTCTTTCTTAATACACTAGGACTTAAGTCTAATTAGATCAATGTATGTTTCTGGCTCACTCACAATGTAACCATGTAGAATTACAAATTATGTGCCTTTCTCCTGTGCATTGTCTCTGTTTTTGGACATACAAGTTTTAACACTAACTATTTTTTGTGTCTAGTTTTACATGATCATTTATGATTGACAGGTGCTTGGCTTTGACTGTGAGTGGGTGTTTCATGGCCGTCGACATCCAGTAGCATTACTTCAGCTAGCAACGCAGGAAGGAGTGTGTGCACTTATACGAACTTTCAGAATTTCTACTTTTCCTTCATCTCTTCAACAGTTATTAAAAGACAGAAGGTAATCCATATATAGACAAAAGGTCTTCATTCCAGGATATGGTTCACATAAATTTGAATGGACAGTATTTTTGTCTCTGTTGTTGATTGATTAGTCCAAGCCAAGGTCACTGTGAAGGACAATGTCTAAACAATAATGCAGTCATAAGACTTTACTTCACAGACTTTCATGTCATAACTAGGTGTTGTGTCACAATTAATAATGCTACTTTTAAGGTCAAAGGTCAAGTACACGCTCATTAAGTTGTAATTTGTTTTCATCTTTACTTGAAGATTTTTTAAAAATTGTGACTGCAACATACAAGTATTCTGTTATGTTTATATAACATTATGTTTGTAGCATACTGAAAGTTGGTGTTGCACCTAAAGATGATGCCAAGAAATTATTCCAGGACTATGGCCTCTCTGTACATGGATGTATCGATCTGCGACACATGCTTTTCCGGGTCCGCGGCATCTATCAATGGTGAGTGGCTCTGTTTCTTGCTGAGCAGCTCTGTTTCTTGTTCAGTCTACTACCATCTACCATAACACTCAAAAATTTTTTTGCTCAGATCATTAATGCCATATCTGAACAGTTCAATGATTAAATAGTGTATTGTAATGAAATGTGGTGAAGTGTCTGACAGTCCGGTAGTGGGCAATTTAATTTTTTTTCTGTCATTTGATACTGTAATAGATAGACATTTTCTAATAATGATATATCAAAATAGCACCTTTATTTGTCTTCTCTGCATGTACTTATTTAGCACAACACAAAAAATAGGTATTTTGAGATTGGTTGTAAAATAGATTCCTTTCTTTGATCTTACAATACATGCAGTTGTTTGTTTGAACCTTGTGTGTGTGAAAACTGTGATAATTATCTAGTTCCAGCATTGGTCTTCAGGGTGTGGCTGAGGGAGTACTTGGGGTTACCATTAATAAAGATAAATCTGTACGCTGTGGAAACTGGGAGGCGGACATTTTGTCTTCTAGACAGGTTTGTTGTGCATTCTCGAGGCCTATTGAACCACAACTTAGATGTCCAATTTTAAAGATTGTTGCTATGATTGAAATTTAATATGAAACTAATTTCTGTCAGGATTTGAAACATTTGTGAAAAGACAATACACGAGAACAATTACAGTTTATTATGGTTTAAAAAAAATGTGAAAGCAGAATTAACAGTGCATTGAGTAAATGATATCATGGTTGAGTCAACACAACATGAATAAACAATGTTTTCATTGAAATATTATTTTATCTTTGAAAAATATGATTGACTTGTTTGGTCGGCATAGGAATTTTGATGAGGGAACAGTATGAAATAAAACAGATGTGTAGTATTTGTAAAATTAATTCAATGTATGTCTTTTAGTCATTTCCACCTGAATATTTTTCAAAGGTCACAGTCGTAAAAGCCATATCCGTTGTGTTTCTTACAGAAAGAGTATGCTGCTGATGATGCTATTGTAGCAGTTGATATTTTCACACACTTGGTCCTCGCCAAGTTGCTGAACCGACGGCCCGATGCAGACAGTATGCAGTCAGATGTGTTTGTAAATGAAAGTCGTTTCTGGAGGACATCACGATCACTATGTCAGGGAGTAGTGGATGCCAATTACAAACACACACCCAATGCAGGAACTCGAAACAAACCCTCACGAATGTACAAAAAGCTAGTGAAGGTGCTCACAGATCGTGAAAAACAGGTACATTAACAATAAATTTAGTCTATATATATTTTACTATTCAAAATCACATTCTTTTCAGCTTTTTATTATTTGATGATGGAATGCTTGTTTTGTGGAACACATGAGTTTTTTGTTCAAAATTTTAAGTTAAAAAAAAATCTGTGAAAATCAGTTATATTAATTGGATATTATCATCTCTGACAGGGTGAGCTTTTTGTAGTCTGGTGGGTGAGGGATGACTTTTAAACTAAATGAAAATGTCACTGACTGTTGTTTAATTTAATGATGCTACCTGTCTTTTATGATAGGATGAAAAGAGTGATGGAGAGATGGATGATGATGTAAGCAGTGAAGCAGAACTCTCAGAAGAAATGAACCAACAGTCCACATCTCTGGTGCAAGCAAAGAAAGAAGGGAAGTCTTATATGACACGACAGCGCCCCCTGTATGATAATTGTCTTCTCCTTGCTCCAGACGGGGATCTCCTTTGTTCTTGTGATGTCAAAAAGGCTGCATGGTACCTAGAAAGGGGATTAGCAGGTTAGCAGTTAAAAGAAATGTCTTCATTACTTTTTTTTGAGGGATCAGTAATGGGTTATCTAGTTCTTTGAAGGAAAGTAATGAGTTTTCTTCGTCTTTGAGGGATCAGTAATGAGTTATCTTCTTTTTTGAAGGATAGTAACAAGTTTTCTTCATCTTTAAGGGATCAGCTATGAGTTCTCTTCTTTTTTGAAGGAAAGTAATGAGTTTTCTTCGTCTTTGAGGGATCAGCTATGAGTTATCTTCTTTTTTGAAGGATAGTAATGAGTTTTCTTCATCTTTGAAGGAAAGTAATGAGTTTTCTTCGTCTTTGAGGGATCGGTAATGAGTTCTCTTCTTTTTTGAAGGATATTAATGAGTTTTCTTCATCTTTGAGGGATCAGTAATGAGTTATCTTCTTTTTTGAAGGATATTAATGAGTTTTCTTCATCTTTGAGGTATCAGCTATGAGTTCTCTTCTTTTTTGAAGGATAGTAACAAGTTTTCTTCATCTTTGAGGGATCAGCTATGAGTTCTCTTCTTTTTTGAAGGATAGTAACAAGTTTTCTTCATCTTTGAGGGATCAGCTATGAGTTCTCTTCTTTTTTGAAGGATAGTAACAAGTTTTCTTCGTCTTTTAGGGATCAGCTATGAGTTCTCTTCTTTTTTGAAGGATAGTAACAAGTTTTCTTCATCTTTGAGGGATCAGCTATGAGTTCTCTTCTTTTTTGAAGGATAGTAACAAGTTTTCTTCATCTTTGAGGGATCAGCTATGAGTTCTCTTCTTTTTTGAAGGATAGTAACAAGTTTTCTTCATCTTTGAATTATAATTAGGAGTTAACTTCTTTTTTCAGGGAACAGTAGCAAGTTATTTTCTTCAGTGATGGATAGTAATGAGTTTGGATTATACTCTTTAGTTTTCCAATACCTTTTTATTTTTATGTAGGACATTAACTTCAATTATTTACTAGAAGGATCAGGTAACAACCAACACCAAAATTGATAAAAATATAGAGTTATAAGCATTGATACAATGTGATGAAATTGATATAGGCCATAGAGTCACATTCATTGATGGAAGATTGATGATAAAAATAAAAAATTGATCAGATTTATTGATGGAATGTGATATTGGCAAGGGCAATCACCTGTATTATTCACTATATTTGGCTTTGCAGACAAAGTGGAAGACTCACCTTTGACAGTGAAGCTGAGATTTGAGCCAGCAGGTCGTCCAACAGATGACTACTACCTCCAGGACAAGGAGAACATCTGTGTTGTGTGTGGAGCAGACGAGTCTTATATACGCAAGTGTGTCATTCCTCGGGAGTATAGAAAGTAAGTCATTCCAAATGAGTGCAGTCTCTCAGTCTCAAGAAAACAGAAAGTGAGTCTATCGTCCTCCAATGATGCAGGAAGTGGGTATGTCATCCTTCAGGTGTACAGAAAGTTAGTGTGTCATCCCATGGATATACAGGAAGTGAAAGTGCCATCCTTTTTGTGTACAGGAAATGAATGTGTTATCCCTTAAGTAAATAGGATGTGAGCATGTCATCCCATGGTTATACAGGAAGTGAAAGTGCCATCCTTTTTGTGTACAGGAAATGAATGTGTTATCCCTTAAGTAAATAGGATGTGAGCATGTCATCCCATGGTTATACAGGAAGTGAAAGTGCCATCCCTTTTGTGTACAGGAAATGAATGTGTTATCCCTTAAGTAAATAGGATGTGAGCATGTCATCCCATGGTTATACAGGAAGTGAAAGTGCCATCCTTTTTGTGTACAGGAAATGAATGTGTTATCCCTTAAGTAAATAGGATGTGAGCATGTCATCCCATGGTTATACAGGAAGTGAAAGTGCCATCCTTTTTGTGTACAGGAAATGAATGTGTTATCCCTTAAGTAAATAGGATGTGAGCATGTCATCCCATGGTTATACAGGAAGTGAGTGTCCCATGGTTATACAGGAAGTGAGTGTGTCATCCCATGGTTATACAGGAAGTGTGTGTGTCATCCCATGGTTATACAGGAAGTGAGTGTGTCATCCCATGGTTATACAGGAAGTGAGTGTGTCATCCCATGGTTATACAGGAAGTGAGTGTGTCATCTCTTGATGATACAGGAAACAAAGATGTTGTCCTTTTGGTATACAGGAAGTGAGTGGGTCATTCTGCTGGTGTACAGAGAGCCAGCGTGTACTTCATGAGATGTACAGGAAAAGAGTTTGTTATCCTTTTGGTGTACAGGAAGTGAGTGGGTCATTCTGCTGGTGTACAGAGAGCCAGCGTGTACTTCCTGAGATGTACAGGAAAAGAGTTTGTTGTCCTTTTGGTGTACAGGAAGTGAGTGGGTCATTCTGCTGGTGTACAGAGAGCCAGCGTGTACTTCCTGAGATGTACAGGAAAAGAGTTTTTTATCCTTTTGGTGTACAGGAAGTGAGTGGGTCATTCTGCTGGTGTACAGAGAGCCAGCGTGTACTTCCTGAGATGTACAGGAAAAGAGTTTGTTGTCCTTTTGGTGTACAGGAAGTGAGTGGGTCATTCTGCTGGTGTACAGAGAGCCAGCGTGTACTTCCTGAGATGTACAGGAAAAGAGTTTGTTGTCCTTTTGGTATACAGGAAGTGAGTGGGTCATTCTGCTGGTGTACAGAGAGCCAGCGTGTACTTCCTGGGGTGTACAGGAAAAGAGTTTGTTATCCTTTTGGTGTACAGGAAGTGAGTGGGTCATTCTGCTGGTGTACAGAGAGCCAGCGTGTACTTCCTGAGATGTACAGGAAAAGAGTTTGTTGTCCTTTTGGTATACAGGAAGTGAGTGGGTCATTCTGCTGGTGTACAGAGAGCCAGCGTGTACTTCCTGGGGTGTACAGGAAAAGAGTTTGTTATCCTTTTGGTGTACAGGAAGTGAGTGGGTCATTCTGCTGGTGTACAGAGAGCCAGCGTGTACTTCCTCAGGTGTACAGGAAAAGAATTTGTTATCCTTTTGGTATACAGGAAGTGAGTGGTTCATTCTGCTGGTGTACAGAGAGTGAGCATGTCATTCCCCAGGTGTACAGGAAAAGAAAGTGTCATCGAATGAAGGAAGTTTGTATCCCTTCAGAGAAGAGAGTTGGTCATCTGTTGAAGGTACAGAAAGTATATGTGTTTTTTGTTTGTTTGTAACTTTTTTCTTTTTAGCACTAATAAAAAAGAATGCTGTATGGATTTTATCTATGTGCCAAAAAAGTTAGAGAGGAGGTGTCATGCGCCCATAGAGTTAGAGAGGAGGTGTCATGTGCTTAAAGTGTAAGAGAGGAGGTGTCATGCGCCCATAGAGTTAGAGAGGAGGTGTCATGTGCTCATAGTGTAAGAGTGGAGGTGTCATGTGCTCATAGAGTTAGAGAGGAGGTGTCATGTGCTTATAGTGTCAGAGAGGAGGTGTCATGTGCTCATAGGGTTAGAGAGGAGGTGTCATGTGCTCATAGTGTAAGAGTGGAGGTGTCATGTGTCCATAGAATTAGAGAGGAGGTGTCATGTGCCCACAGAGTTAGAGAGGAGGTGTCATGTGCTCATAGTGTAAGAGTGGAGGTGTCATGTGTCCATAGAGTTAGAGTGGAGGGGTCCTGTGCTCATTGAGTTAGAGAGGAGGTGTCATGTGCTCATAGAGAGGAGGTGTCATGTGCTGTGCTTATAGAGAGAGGTCATGTGCTCAGGTGTCATGTGCTCATAGAGTTAGAGAGGAGGTGTCATGTGCTCATAGTGTAAGAGTGGAGGTGTCATGTGTCCATAGAGTTAGAGTGGAGGGGTCCTGTGCTCATTGAGTTAGAGAGGAGGTGTCATGTGCTCATTGAGTTAGAGAGGAGGTGTCATGTGCTCATGATGTAAGAGTGGAGGTGTCATGTGCCCATAGGGGTCATGTGTTAGAGAGAGGTGTCATGTGCCCACATAGTGTAGAGAGAGTTAGGAGGTGTCATGTGCTCATAGGAGTGGAGGTGTCATGTGCCCATAGAGTTAGAGTGGAGGTGTCATGTGTCCATATAGAGGTGTCATGTGCCAATAGAGTTAGAGTGTGTCATGTGCCCAGAGTGGAGGTGTCATGTGCCCATAGAGTTAGAGTGGAGGGGTCATGTGCTCATAGAGTTAGAGAGGAGGTGTCATGTGCTTATAGTGTCAGAGAGGAGGTGTCATGTGCTCATAGCGTAAGAGTGGAGGTGTCATGTGTCCATAGAGTTAGAGAGGAGGTGTCATGTGTCCACAGAGTTAGAGTGGAGGTGTCATGTGCCCATAGAGTTAGAGTGGAGGTGTCATGTGCTCATGATGTAAGAGTGGAGGTGTCATGTGCCCATAGAGTTAGAGAGGATGCGTCATGTGCCCATAGTGTAAAAGTGGAGGGGTCATGTGGCCATTGAGTTAGAGTGGAGGTGTCATGTGCCCATAGAGTTAGGGTGGAGGTGTCATGTGCCCACAGAGTTAGGAGGTGTCACGTGCCCATAGAGTCAGAGAGGAGGGGTCATGTGCCCGTAGTGTAAGAGTGGAGGGGTCATGTGCTCATGATGTAAGAGAGGAGGTGTCATGTGCTCATAGAGTTAGAGTGGAGGTGTCATGTTCCCATAGAATTAGAGTGGAGGTGTCATGTGCCAATAGAGTTAGAGTGGAGGTGTCATGTGCCCGTAGTGTAAGAGTGGAGCGGTCATGTGCCAATAGAGTTAGAGTGGAGGTGTCATGTGCCCACAGAGGTAGAGTGGAGGTGTCATGCGCAAATAGAGTTAGAGAGGAGGTGTCATGTGCTCATAGCGTAAAAGTGGAGGGGTCATGTGGCCATTGAGTTAGAGTGGAGGTGTCATGTGCCCATAGAGTTAGGGTGGAGGTGTCATGTGCCCATAGTGTAAAAGTGGAGGGGTCATGTGGCCATTGAGTTAGAGTGGAGGTGTCATGTGCCCATAGAGTTAGAGTGGAGGTGTCATGTGCCCACAGAGTTAGGAGGTGTCACGTGCCCATAGAGTCAGAGAGGAGGTCATGTGCCAGAGTTAGAGTGGAGGGGTCATGTGCTCATGATGTAAGAGAGGAGGTGTCATGTGCTCATAGAGTTAGAGTGGAGGTGTCATGTGCCAATAGAGTTAGAGTGGAGGTGTCATGTGCCCATAGAGTTAGAGTGGAGGTGTCATGTGCCCATAGAGTTAGAGTGGAGGTGTCATGTGCCCACAGAGTTAGAGTGGAGGTGTCATGCGCCAATAGAGTTAGAGAGGAGGTGTCATGTGCTCATAGCGTAAGAGTGGAGGTGTCATGTGTCCATAGAGTTAGAGAGGAGGTGTCATGTGCCCATAGAGTTAGAGAGGAGGTGTCATGTGCTCATAGTGTAAGAGTGGAGGTGTCATGTGTCCATAGAGTTAGAGAGGAGGTGTCATGTGTCCACAGAGTTAGAGTGGAGGTGTCATGTGCCCACAGAGTTAGGAGGTGTCATGTGCCCATAGAGTAAGAGTGGAGGTGTCATGTGTCCATAGAGTTAGAGAGGAGGTGTCATGTGCCCATTGAGTTAGAGTGGAGGAGTCATGTGCCCATAGTGTAAGAGTGGAGGGGTCATGTGGCCATTGAGTGGAGGTGTCATGTGCTCATGATACAAGAGTGGAGGTGTCATGTGCCCATAGAGTTAGAGAGGAGGTGTCATGTGCCTATAGAGTTAGAGAGGAGGTGTCATGTGCTCATAGTGTAAGAGTGGAGGGGTCATCTGCCCATAGAGTTAAAGTGGAGGTGTCATCTGCCCATAGAGTTAAAGTGGAGGGGTTATGTTAAGTTTGCTGTTAAGCATTATAGACTTAACATTGTATAACTAGAGTGTCTAGAACGGAAAGGAGGAACGCAAGAGAGTCTTCACTTCTGTAAGTTTTGTCTTTCAATCACATTTATTAGATCTTTGGAATCATGTAATCAGAATTTATGGAAAGGAAAAAGGTTGTCATTTTGGGTCAGAGTACAACGAAGTAAAACGTAAGCCTAGTGTTGGAAATTATTTTTGAATCAGCATAATGCAAAATGTACTTGTTTTCTTTACATGTGTGAATATATAGTTAATATGAGTGACAAAATCATCGGGTCATAAATTCAGGCACTTTATGCCTCTTGTTTATTGTTCTGATATTAGTAATTATTGTTCATATCTTCTAACATATTTACTTCATTACATTTTTCTCTTAGTTTTCTTAGTTTTAATGTACAGTATGTTGTTTTTGTTACCTGATGTTGTCTGTTTGTACAGATATTTACCTCACCAACTAAAAGATCATTCCTCACATGATGTTTTGTTGATGTGTGTTCCTTGTCACATGGACAGTACTCAGCACGATTCTGTGTTACGTAACAAGCTTGCAGAGGAATGTAACGCACCAATAGACAACGGCTCAGGGATCAAAGTTCACAATGATGAAGATCTTCGCAAGGTTTGCTCAGCTGCAAAGTGAGTATACTATACTGATGCATAATTAGCATGGAAAAATACATACCTGGAAAAGAAATTATATAAAGAAAGAACCAAATTAGTATTTGATTAGATATGAAAATTTATCCAAAATACGTAAATACCCGGTAAGGTAAATTTTCTCTGAACTTAAAAATTACTTCATTACTTAATTTTGAAACAAGTTACATGACAGTTTGCCTATTTTATAGAGAATGTGATATTTCAATTCTTTTACTTAAGTCTGTGTTAATCTTTGTGATAAAATTATAAATCATTGAATGGCGCTTTATAATACAGTGATAATGACACTATTTCTATCTAGTTATTGAATTATCATATAAAATATTACATTTCTACTCCTGTAAGATCCACTATGTATTTCAAATATTATGGTGAGATTTCTTTCAACCGTTTGTCAGTCGAACATCATTTGAACTATTATAGGGCCTTGCTGAAAAGTCGGGATAAGATACCAGCTCAAAGGCAGGAATTATTAGAAGATACAATCCGAAGTTTTTACAACACAGAGGTTGTCACAGAGGAACTATTGAATGAAGCAGTTGATATAGATTACAAGTTAGTGAATTATTAAAAAATCTTGATATAACAACACATGCTGAAATTGTTATTAAGCTACATATATTATTTACAAGATACATTTAGAATTATGTCTGGTGACTGTACATTTTTTATAATTTCTGTTTATTTTTTTTTATTGTAATCTTTTTATCAATGCGTAAAATCATATTTAGATCTGTCCATACAAGGACTATTGATAAACTATATTTTTTCAGGATTCGTAATATATGGTACAAGCCACATGGAAAGAGAGTAGTTACATATATGAAGAGACATGGTGGATTGTTCAACTTCGAGAAAAGATGGCGGAAACATTTCCTTCAAACTATGAAACCAAAGTTCATGCCAAAAGGTTGGTCAGTTAGTCATCGTCATGAACATCATCGTGATGATGACGACAATGAGGACAATGATAGTTTATCTGACTTGGAGGTGGATTTTACAAATGATGTGTGACACAGGACAGTCATGAAATAAACAATTAATAAAAGGTCTGTCAGTATGGTGGACTACTTAATCAGGTAAAGAAATTTGCAGAAAAATAAAATAAAATGAAATAGTTTTATGCATCAGCAGTGCCTGGTTTTGTTTATAACTATGTACCAGCTTCAGTTATTGTATAAGTTTGTCCCTCTAGGACTATTTAGTGATGCTAGGGACCAAAAGTGTGGAATCATACAGCAGTGTTGTCCCTCTAGGACTATTTAGTGATGCTAGGGACCAAAAGTGTGGAATCATACAGCAGTGTTGTCCCGCTAGAACTATTTAGCTATGCTAGGGGCCAAATGTTTTGAAATGCAGATGAAATGTTAAAAAAACAAACTGAAACGGGAGGTGTCCCATCCCAATAATTACATGTAGATCAGTTGGATCATATTGAATAAGTGATTAATCCACAAAATTTAGGGTTTTTCGCAGATGTGGTGGTATCTATTGGTAGAAATTCAAGTGTGATAAGCAAGGTTACCATAAATCTAGGGAAATCTACAAGAAGCAAGGACGACTTAACTTATACAAAGATATACTGCCAAAGGGATAATTGTATCTAATACCCCCTGCATGCTGGCTACTTATTGCCCCTTAAGGGGCAAGGGAGAATATAAAAAGAACTATCCAGTGGCATATCTCTGCCTACAGTACTCTAATACATGTTTACCAAATACTATCATTTCTGTCCTGAGATATTGGCAATATCAGAAGTTAATGCATGTGTGACCTTTGACCTTCGACCAAGGACTTAGGAAGTTTGTGATTGGATACCGTACATTGATGTCAATGATTATTTAATGTATATTTGTGTACAAAATACCTACCATTTCTGAGAAAGTGAGCTATTTCCAAACTGTAATGCATATTTGACCTTTGAACTCCGAAGGTTACTTACTCCAATGTGTATTGATTAATACTTTAATGTACATAATCTATATGTGTAAGCAGCTGTTTCTGTGATCATTTACTACTGACACGTGTACTGTTTCAATTACCAACGTCAAAGGTAATGACTAATAAAACCTGAAATGGATGATCGCGTGGCGTAGTGGTAAAGTACTGGCCTTTCACCTTGTCATTCAGAGTTCGATTCCCCATGCAGATGTGTAAAGATATGGTGGGGAAAGGGTGAAGAGGGAGGGGTCATCTGCCCGACCACGTTGGTATTCCACTTTTCTCACACAGAAAAGACCTGTCGCGCAGTATCATCGCTGCCAACAAGAGTGATTAATATCAGCTGATCGCTTGTTTCGCATTTGTTGTAAAACAAACTTTATGATAAAAAAATCTAAAATATAATGGCATCCACGGAGACAAGAGAACATATCATGTATAACCTATATGTGAAATTTCGTCAAAATTCATTTCTAATCCAGTAGCACAAGAACGTTTTCACTGACTGGCGTCAAGGGCTGTAATAGTAAGTCTAATGGTGTTTAAGGAGATACGAGAACATGTCTTATTTAACCATTCATAATCCTCGGAGGAGCAGTCGGTACAAAGTTTTGTCTACACACAGACGCGGTGGACGTCCTTACAAACAGGTTTGTTGGTTGCAAAGCTTTATAAAATCATTGAATTTCCATTTACGCCCTTGCTAACAAGGCACAAGCAAACCGATGTCTAGTTATTGATTATGGGTAAAAAATGGATTTCGTCGCCTATAGGAAACAAAGATGTTTTGATGGAATGAACCATTATTGCAACCCATAAGTGTACCTGCATGAGTATGGACAGATGCACTGATTCCAGTATTACCCCCAACACCCCTACTTTGTTCAATGTGTTGAGGGCATATAAACATACTAATTTTAGTGATGTCTGGTTTCTATTTTCTATTTTGCCATCGTGCTTCATCCATCGTGCATAAACTTTTGACATTTCAAACTTCTTCTGAAATTCCAACAGTGGAATTAAGCTCAGATTTGCATGGAATGATTCTGAGATAGTTCTGACAAAGTGTTGTTATTTTTCGGGTATGCCTAAAATCCAAGATGGCTACCATGATTGCCATCTAGAAAACATATTTTTAAAATTCTTCTCCAGTTTCACTGGTGCAATTTAGGTAAAGATTGGTGTTAATGTTAAGGAAATGTAGTCAACAAAGTGTTGTTCGACCTTCTCAAAACTTCGGCACAGCAGCCAGGGAGGCCATTTTGTAACATGATTGCCAATCATGGTTTTCCTGTACAACACCTATTTCAAACTTCTCAAGTTTCGTCAGTTAGATTGATCTCAACTTTACTGTCAAGAAATAGGTTACACTTGTTATAGTTACCTATTCCTCACCAAAATTACTATCTACATCATGGAAAAGAGATTCTTAGTAAGATTTCATTTAACGTAGACAAACTTTCTCCCTGTTGAAAGTTTTTGTAGTCAGATTACCGTTAAGACCCGTGGGCCTGTTATTTAACATATACTCATAGTTTGGGGCTGAAAGAAAAGACAAAAGACGTTCTGCAGCCGTCTGTCAGTCCATCAATACTACTTTCGGTTATATAGTAGGTGTACTGGCAAACGAGGTCTTGAGACTGGTTTTATTCTGTGTGCCTTGTCTGGGGTCGCCATGCAACTCTTTCGTTCATATTTTGCCGTAGGTTGTTAGAGTTTGAGTGAAGATTCTGTGGATATGACTTTTTCTGTTATCCTGAGATTGACTCGAACAGCTGAGATCTTTGAAAATAGCAGTAGCAATGACTTAACATGGAAGTAACGGTTATCAACAACGAAGGTGATTCAGTTCAGACTAATCAACTCACGAGTTGCCTCCCTTGGATTGTTATAGCTGTAAAATAAGGATATCCTGTTAATATCCGGGTCCGTCATTTTATTTTGAAAAATTTAAATGATTTTGATAGGGTTTCTTTTTTTTCATTTTTTTATCTATAACAGCAACATTTTTGTCAAAACCATTTGTTGAAATGAAACGAACTCCAATAGATAACATTTTCTACATGTGATATTTATAGAATATGGTGATTTAAAATTACACCTTCCCCTGGTAAAAATAATTACGCTGCAAACTCCGGTCAAGAAAACCTGGCAACAATTAGCAGTGTATCGGGTGCACGTAAGGAATTGGCTTGGCTCACCCTCTATGAGTATGACGTCTCACCAAGGATATTTTTAACAACCCTCCCCTGGGGCTCAACAACCAAGCCTGCCTCCCGGTTATCCGACCGATTACCTGCCTACATTCCAACCAGGATATGCGAGTAACATCCATTTGTCATTCAAAATCCATTCATAGTCCAGTTGTACAAGAACTGATTCACATAGTGGCATCAAGGACCATGGTATTTTTGGAAAGTGCTACCAACTTTTATTTTCTTTCTTCTGATCCTTTAACTTCGAATGTTTATTGTAGATTTCAATTCTAATTGCAAAGAACGGAAGAAATTTTTAAAACGTAGAACTAAGCCTTCGCCCTCCAATAATTATGTGAAATGTTATATTGATCAGGTCTCAAACTTTGGCAACTATATTGAAGTTAATTGTGCCTTAAGATAAATCGTTAAAGCACTGGACCTGATTTTTGGGAAACCGTGTAAATTAGTCACATGCATCGAAAACAGTGAATCGGCGAATCGTATTTTGAGGGAAAAGAATGCTTTTCATCTACCAACAGAAGATGTACTACTAGCAAACCTTCGGTTTACAAGGAAATGGCGTATTAAGCTACTACATTTTCATAAAGATGAACGTTGTTACATTGCCGATAAAAATCTCACGGAGATTACTGTAGAACTTTAAAAGAATCTTACAAAATCCACGAAAGAAAAAGTGTTTGGTTTAGAGACTTGGCCGAACGAGAAAATGTAGACTTTTTTATTCGCTTGTATTTCCATTTCTTCTCTGTTCTTTTTGAAAATATGAATGTAAATGAACACTGCATTTATTCAACAATCTTGTAAGCGTATATTTGGTATTCAAAGAAGCACACTAAACTTTACTGTTTATGGAAACATTTTGAGATCTAAAAACATCTCGAGAATCTTTAGAACCTCAAGTATGCATTTACCTATTGGGACTGACTATTGAGGATGAGAATTCCAAAACAAAAACAGAATTTGAAATGTTTTAATGAATTTGATGGTGGATATCATTATCTAAATATGAACATGTATCTGTTAAGCAAAGTAGGCAATTATTTTATTCCAAATAACTACTGTAATTACCCTAGGATTAGTAAGATACATGAATTATTTACCGTCGTTAGATAAGGGAATATTAAATATAGCAAGTATCGAGAAAAACACGAAACTTATTGGATGTAGGTCATTAGTTTGTAGAAAACTTACTGGACGTAGGTCATTAGTCCGTAGAAAACTTTTTGGATGTAGGTCATTAGTCTGTAGAAAACTTACTGGATGTAGGTAATTAGTCCGTAGAAAACTTACTGGATGTAGGTCATTAGTCCGTAGAAAACTTACTGGATGTAGGTCATTAGTCTGTAGAAAACTTATTGGATGTAGGTAATTAGTCTGTAGAAAACTTACTGGATGTAGGTAATTAGTCTGTAGAAAACTTACTGGATGTAGGTCATTAGTCCGTAGAAAACTTATTGGATGTAGGTAATTAGTCTGTAGAAAACTTATTGGATGTAGGTCATTAGTCTGTAGAAAACTTATTGGATGTAGGTAATTAGTCTGTAGAAAACTTACTGGACGTAGGTCATTAGTCCGTAGAAAACTTTTTGGATGTAGGTCATTAGTCTGTAGAAAACTTATTGGATGTAGGTAATTAGTCTGTAGAAAACTTATTGGATGTAGGTCATTAGTCTGTAGAAAACTTATTGGATGTAGGTAATTAGTCTGTAGAAAACTTATTGGATGTAGGTAATTAGTCAGTAGAAAACTTATTGGATGTAGGTCATTAGTCTGTAGAAAACTTACTGGATGTAGGTCATTAGTCTGTAGAAAACTTATTGGATGTAGGTCATTAGTCAGTAGAAAACTTACTGGATGTAGGTCATTAGTCTGTAGAAAACTTATTGGATGTAGGTCATTAGTCCGTAGAAAACTTACTGGATGTAGGTCATT